CGTTCGACGAATACCTCTCCGAACCGGAGTCTAACAAGGCGCCAGATGAGTGAGAATTACCCCGTTAAATTTGGCACGTTGTTTAAGTTTAATTGTACTAACGCCCTCCGTCTGTGTCCGACGTCTCTTCCACCGCCGTGCAGATGTCGCTGAGCAGTGCAAGAGCTTCTGGCAGTTCGTGCGTGCCAAGCGTCGTGAGCGCGGCATCGACACCGCGTGGATCATCAACGCGGACCAGACGCCGCTCTGGCTGGAGATGCCCGCCACCACCACCGTGGAGGAAACGGGTGTTCGCTCGGTGCCTATCAGGAGCGCGGGGTATCAGAAGCAGAGAGTGACCGTGATGTTGGCGTGCACGGCGGACGGAAGGAAGCTGAAGCCGTGGGTGTTCTTCAAGCACAAAACCTTGCCGAAGGGCGATTTCCCTGCCGGTAAGTAAAGAGGTGCACGACTCGGTCACTGCGTTCTTTTCAGAGTTCGAATTCTAACCACCCGTGCGTGTTTCATGCAGATGTGGTCGTGGCTTGCCACGAGAACGGGTGGATGGACTCCCTTGGCGTCGTTCGCTGGCTTGAGGAGGGCGTGAAGCCGTTCATGAAGCCTCGGTTCGGCAGACACGCCAAGAGCTCGATGCTGGTGCTGGATTCTTACCGCGGTCACCTCACCGAGGAGGTGAAGGAGAAGCTCCGCGAGATGAACTGCGTGCTGGCGATCATCCCGTCGGGCTGTACGGCGGAGGTACAGCCGCTCGATGTCTGCATCAACAAGAGCTTTAAGGCGTCGGTCCGCCAGCAGTACCAGAGGTGGTTTGAGGCAGAGGGGCAAGAGCAGCTGATGGCAGTAGGTATGGCATGAGTACGGTATTTCCCCCCCCCCCCCCCCCGAATTCTTTGTTGTTGCACTAACTGCTTTCCACCGTTCCTGCGTTCTTTTCAGGGAACCTGAAGAAGCCTTCACCAGAGGTCGTCCTGCAGTGGGTATCACAAGCCTGGAAGGCAGTGCCGGCCGACCTCATCAAGCATGCCTTCCTCACCTGTGGCATCAGCAACCAACTTGACGGCAGTGAGGACGGACTCGCCATGGCGCACAGGCGGAGCCAGCTGACAGCTGAAGTGGATGTCGACGATGACATCATCGCTGATGGTTTTTTTGGCAACAACTGCCAGGAGCCCGAATCTGACGAGGAGGAGTAGGAGGGGTACTGTATGATCCATGTTAGGTAGAAGTACCCCGGCTAAACTTGTTGTTAGGAGATCTAGCTTAATTTGATGTTGTTGCTTAGAAAAAGTGACACTTTAGTAAAATCTTTTGTAATGCCTCCAATGAAAGGTTAAGGGATGCGCTTATAATAAGGATAGAATTTTCAGGGGGTGCGCATATAATCGAGTTCCGGCCATAAGCGCCATGCTCCAGATAGAGGCGCCGGCGCCTTTAATCGGACGGCGCCTATATCCGGGGCCATACGGTATGTGAATAGGCCCACAAGCAGTACGGTATATCAAGGGCAGGTCACATTCGATGTGTTTCCAGTTCATGTGTCAATGTCCACACCACACTAGTGATAGCGCTTCGAAGCAGCTTAGTGAGGAAACCGCTCTATATTGCACATTGTACTCAACCGCTGTTGATGGACTGCTAGAAAACTACGCGTGGCCCACGTTAGTATTGCATAGTATCTACATACGCTCGGATAGCTGCAAGAAACTCCCGAGCAGCAGCGCTCCGGGCTGCTTTTTTGGCAGCCCCACATCCAACAAACTGTACAATCTGCCCGTCAATACGGGCTGAAAGGATGGAGGTGTGCTCCAAAGTGCTCCCAAAAGAGTAGTCATCTGTCCATGAGACTCGGGAACACATTGCTACAGCCAACTCGTTTAGAGCTTGTAGTGAGACGCTCTTAGAGTGGACATCTGGTTCAAAGATTCTTGTCCAGCTGTAGCAATTAATACCTGAAAAAACACACAGAAGGGAGAGGGGAACGTGAGACAAGAACGGGGAATTTTAAAGGCTGCCTAGGGAGCTTAGGAGAGAACTATGAGAACAAAATGCAAGAGCAAGGACGATTTGGTGAGGCATTTGGACGATTTGGTGAGGCATTTGGACGATTTGGTGAGGCATTTGGACGATTTGGTGAGGCATTTGGACGATTTGGTGAGACATTTGGACGATCAGAGGACACGCGGAATTACAAGAGGACACTGGAAAACAGTAGTAGGGAGTCTTTGGTTGGCTTTTGAGGTGCCTACAAACTGTTATGATATTCAAAGATATGATATCCATGGTGGACATGATAGCCATGATAGGCATGATAGGCATGATAGCCATGATATTCATGATACCCATGATACTCATAATACCCATGATACCCATAATACCCATGACAGGCATGATCGCTATGATAGGCATGATAGGCATGATAGGCATGGTAGATGATAGCCATGATAGCCATGATACCCATGATACCCACCATATCCATAATACCCATGATAGGCATGATAGGCATGATAGCCATGGATACGCACCGGTTGCTGTAACGAGCCTTCTGAGTGCTGCCCGTGTGGTGGCCTGTCGGATTGGCAGGGCCTGAGAAAGCGCTCGTGCTGCTGCTGGTGCTGCAACTGGTGCTGCTACTGGTGGTGCTGCTCGTGCTGCTGCTGGTGCTGCAACTGGTGCTGCTACTGGTGGTGCTGCTCGTGCTGCTGCTGCTGCTGGTGGTGGTGGTGCTGCTGCTGCTGCTGGTGCTGCTTGTCTGGAGACCTCTCGAATATGCAGGGCTTGAGGATGGACTGGTGCTCGCGCTCTTGCTTGTGCTGCTGCTGTTGAAGCTGCTTGTGTGGTGGCTTGGCGAATAGGCAAGGCCTGGGGACGGGCTGGTGCTGCTGCAACTAGTGCTGGTGCTGCTGCTCGTGCATCTGCTGCTGCTGCTGCTGCTGCTGCTCGTGGCACTTGTACTGACTGTGATGCTGGCGCTTGTGATGCTGCTGCTGCTGCTGCTGCTGCTGCTGCTCGTGCTGATGCTGGTTGTGTGATGCTGGTGGACAGGGCTTGAGGAGCGGCTCGTGCTGCTGCTGCTGATGGTGGTAGTCCTGATGCTCGTGCTGCTGCTGGTAATGCTGCTGCTGGTGCTGCTGCTGGTGCTGCTGGCGGTGGTGCTGCTGCTGGTGATGCCGCTGGTGGTGGTGCTGCTGGTGATGCTGCTGGTGGTGCTGCTGCTGGTAGTGATGGTGATATGCCCTCTCTTCTCTGATCACCCCACAGGTCATCCACTCTCTCACTCACTCTCACCCTCTTCTCCCGAACCTGCGGCTCCCGAGCCACACCACCACCTGCCGAGACTGGCCGCACCAAGCCTTCACACCTGAGCTGTGGGGACTCCGAGCCTGAGGTTCCCCAACCTCCAGCAGTAACGGGATCATCACATTGATTAGGGGGGATTGAAGGGGAGATTGATGTCGGGTCGTGGGGCGAGAGGGGGTGTGGAATGGAATGGGAGAGAGGAGGGGTAGGTGGGTCAAAGCGAGCAGCACTTGCCACCACTGCCCAGTCATGCTGCTGTTGTTGCTGTTGCTGCTGCGATTGCTCCTGCTGCTGCTGCTGCTCACACTGCTGTTGCTGCTGTAGCTGCTCTTGCTGCTGTCGCTGTTGTTGTATCACTGCTGCTGCCTGTGCTGCTGCTGTCGATGCTGTTGCTGTCTGTGCTGCTGCTGCTGTCTGTGCTGCTGCTGTCTGTGCTGCTGCTGTCCGTGCTGCTGCTGTCCGTGCTGCTGCTGTATGCGCTGCTGCTGTTTGTGTTGCTGCTGCCTGTGCTGCTGCTGCCTGTGCTGCTGCTGCTCTCTGTGCTGCTGCTGCCTGTGCTGCTGCTGTCCGTGCTGCTGCTGCATGTGCCGCTGCTGTGCGTACTTGCACTGCTGCTGCCCGAGACTGTGCTTTTGTGTGCAAACGGTTTGCAGCTTGCACCTCTGCTGGTGGTGGTGGTGGTGGTGCTGCTGCTGCTGCTTCTGCGGCTGCCACTGCCTCCGCTGCTGCTGCCGCTGCTGCTGTTGCTGCTGCAAATGGTGGTGGTGTTGCTGCTGCGCCCTGCTTCGGCTGTGATGCTGTATACCGCTGTTCAGCCGGCTGCTGCTGCTGCTGCTCCTGCCGCTGTTGTTGCTCTTGCTGCTGCCGCAACCCCTGCTTCTGCTGCTGTTGCCATTGCTGCTGCTGTTCCCTTTGCTTCGGCTGTAGTGAAACCATTTTCTCCTGGCCCTTCACACTCTTTTTTTTTTTCAACATCTTCTTGTTTTGTGTCTTTCGCTGTTGCCTCCTCTTCTGTTGATTCAACGTGCCACTTTCCTGCAAGTCACCGCATAAGGTGTCATAAATAAAAAGAGAACCAAGCAGTCATGCTGATTTTTTTAGGCGCCTCAAAAATCTTCCGCTGCTGCCTCCTCTTCTGTGGATTCAACGTGCCGTTTTCCTGCAAGTCACAGCGTTAGGTGTCACAAATAAAAAGAGAACAAAACAGTCATGCTGAATGCATCCATACCAACTGAAGGTACTGATAGTATTGGAAGTTACAACCTCGACTCACCATCAGCCGCCTTATCTCTTCAAGTGCTAGCTCAGCAGCAGCCTTTCTGGCCATACTCTTGTGCGGCCTCACCGCAACTGCAACCTCCCTCCCCCCCACCAAAGCTTTACACCTCCACCATTCCATTTCCCTCTTCCTCCTCCACCCCTCTTCCTCCTCCCCCCATTCATCCTCATCTCCCCCCTCTCCTCCCCTTTCTCCTTCCCCCTCCCTTCCCTCCTCCATCTCCACCTCTCCCTCCTTCCCCATCTCGCCTGGCTTCTTTTCTCCTGCCCCAGGTTTCCAGCACTTCTCAACCACCAGCTTCCCGCCCTGCCCCAGTTTTCCGGTCAGCTCGAAGAAAAGCGAGGTCGGGGGGCGGGTGACAACAGAGGTAGAAGTGACACGGGTGGGGAAGAAGCGGGAAAAGAGTCCCCACACCCTCTCTGTGTCAAACCCACAGTCCACTAGCGTTGCCCCCACCAGGGACTCCAGCACGTCTCCTATCGCCTAGGTGGTGTGGTTGAGGGAGGCGAGAGAAAGAGAGGGGGACAGTAGAGGTTGGAGGGAAGAACCGGGAGAAGAGTCCCCACACCCTCTCTGTGTCAAACCCACAGTCGACTAAAGTTGCCCCCACTAGAGACTCGAGCACGTCTCCTATGGCCTGAGGAGTGTGTGAGACAGCAGAGATGGACAAGGAAGGAGATGGGGTTAAGGGAGTAAGCACAGAGCAGAGGCAGCAGTGACACGGGTGGGGAAGAAGCGGGAGAAGAGTGCCCACACCCTCTCAGTGTAAAACCCACAGTCGACTAGAGTTGCCCTCACCAGGGACTCGAGCACATCTCCTATTGCCTGAGGGGGGAAGAGGCGAGGAAGAGGGGAGAGAGGCAGAGTTACACCCTCTCTGCATCACACCCACAGTCAACTGGAGTTGCCCCCACCAGGGACTCGAGCACGCCTGCTATCGCCTGGGTGGTGGTGGGAAGCACATAGGGGGAGAAGGGAGAGAGATAGACATCATAGAGTAAGCACAGAGCAAAGGCAGCGTCAATCCCACAGTCGACTTCTTGAGTCGCCTCCACCAGGGACTCGAGCACGTCTCCTATCGCCTGGGTGGTGTGCGGTTTGGGGTTGAGATGAGAGGCAAGGGAGAGAACGTGCAAAGATGAGAGCTGAGCGAAATCTGAAGGCGGGGAACATCAGGAAAAATCGAGAACTGAGGGGAAAACAACAGTCTGCGAGATTCCCAAAAAGCCCAACCTTGCACAGTGAACGCAGTTCCCCTTGAGATGATTTTTGAGGCACCTCAACAAGCACAGTAAATGCAGTTCCCCTTGAGATGATTTTTGAGGCACCTCAACAAGCACAGTAAATGCAGTTCCCCTTGAGAGGCACACTCACCTTAGGAGCCTGCACTCCACCCTCCCCAAAGTATCCATCCAGCTTCTCCCTCCTCCTCTCCTCTTCCCCTTCCTCTCCCCCTTCCTCCTCTCGCTCCGCCTCCTTCCTCTCCTTCCCCTGCGCCCTCCCTCCTCCCTCCTCCACCATCTCCCCTTCTCCTACTGCACTGTCAGCAAACCCCTTGTGAGACACCTCCATGCTTGTCATTCCTGCTCGATTTACAGCCCCAACTCCTATCACACTTGCAGGCATCCCCATACCCATACTTCCACGCACTCCCAACCTTGCATCCCCACCACCCCCACTGCTTCCCATTTCCTCTGCTGCTTCTGCTGCTCCCTTACCCATCTGCTTCTCTCCTTCCCCGACCTCTTTCCTCCACTTCCTCCTCTCCCTCTCCCTCCTCTCCCGCTCCCTCCTCTCCTCCCTGTCCCTCACAAACGCTGCAATCTCGCCGCCCAGGTGGACCGAGAAGTGTCTGATGTGGCGGTGCAGGGCCAAACCCGAGCCCCCTGCTGACGTGGCAGCAGCAGAAGAAACAGCTGACGTGGCGATGCGGGAGAGGTTCTCGTTGTTGACGAGCGCGGCGCGGCGGAAGGTGAGCTGACGTGGCGTCTGGTGCGGGTGCTGCAGGTGCAGCTGACGTGTCACGAAGTAATCAATGAACGCGTCCCCTAGGAACTCCAACCTCTGCAATGGGGAGGGTTCACACGAAGAGGCCAGGTGAAGTGCACAAGTTAAGGAAGGTTCATGTTAGGAAGGTGCTATTCAAAGTGTCACACAGTGGGTGATTCAGAGATCAATCAGAGAACACTGGCTAGGAACTCCTGTCTCTGCAGTCTTTAAAGCTCAACACAAAGGGGTTGAGTCTGTTTTTGAGGCGCCTAAAAAATGGAAAGTTCAACACAAAGGGATTGAGAGAGTCACTCACCTTGAAAAAGAGACGAGGCCGAGTCAGCCCACACAAGGAAAATCCTGTCCAAATGAGCTCAGTTAACTGATGTATCTGTTTTTTCACAACAACAGCTGAAGTAGCAACATTTAGTGGTCCACTCACCTGGTAGCACGTGACGACTTCGTCAGAGGCCCAGTTGACGAAGCTAGGGTGAGTCAGGGCTTCCAGCACAAGTCGCTTGTCTCTGAACTCGTACCCCAGTGCCGCCTCTATCTCCCTCACTCCTGCCAACCCCTTCTCTCCTACCTCCCCTCCTCCTTCCTCTCCTTCCTCCCCTGCCTCCTCTTCTCCCCCCATTCGCCCTTCCTCTCCTTCCTTCCCCCCGTTTTCATCCACCATCACCTCATCTATACTAGACCCCCTCGCTCCTATTCCCTCTACAGTTTTCTCCCCATTCCCCCCCGCACACACCTCTCCCGCATTTCCTTCCACAATCCCACCCTTCCTTCCACCCATCCCTCCACACACCTCTCTAGCCTCTCCCCCATCCTCTCTTAAACCCCCATCTTCCCCCTCAAACCCAGACAGCCCCACGGGAAGGCCCAACCAGCTCATGACACGTGTAGCAGCAGCAGCCCCACACGTGTCCCACACACACCCCACCAACGCCTCCACCAAATCTGCTAAAGCCTTCCCAGACACACGCACAGGAGGGGGGGATACTGCCATCAAGGAAGGAGATGAATCCAGTCCTTTCATAAGGTAGTTTCCTCCCATTTTGCTGCTTCCACCGCTCTCAACACCTTCGCCTTCAGCAATGCAGACCTCTTCAGTTTCATTGGCAATGCTTCTGATGTCTCCTCCCTTCTCCTTTTTTCCTAATTCCTCCTCTCCCACTTCCTCCTGTTCCTCCTCTTCCTTATCTTCCTCCTGTTCCTCCTCTTCCTTATCTTCCTCCTGTTCCTCCTCTTCCCCTTTTTCTTCCTCCTCTTCCTCATCCCTTTCCTCTTCATCCATGTCCTCTTCCTTGCTTCCCTCCTCTGTATCCTCCCCTTCCTCTTCAGAGCTTTCATCTTCTTCCCCCACCTCCCACTCCCCCTCTTCCTCCTCCTCGTCATCCTCTCCCTCCTCCAGTTCCTCTTCTCCCTCTTCTACCTCCTCTCCCTCCTCATCCACTTTCTCCACTTCCCCACCACTACCCTCCTCTTCTCCCACCCCCTCCTCGTATGCCCCATCCCCCCCTTCACCCCCCCCCTCCTCTCTAGCATCTCCTGCCTCCTGCACCATCCCAGGTGCCACACACTCATCCTGCTTCTGCTTCTTCTTTCTCCGACTCTTGTCCATCACCTGCTGCTGCAACTGAGTTCGCCGCTCTCTCATTTGCTGCTTCAGCTGCGCATGCCCGCATGGGTAGTCACGAGGGGCGACACCCGGCACGTGCCACTTTCCAGCCGTGAATATTCCAGTGCGCAGATACTCCTGAGGAGAGGAGTAGAGAGACGGACACAAGGTTGAGGAGCAAAGGGAGGCAGCGGGAATGAGAAAGTGCAGGTGAAAAGCAGTGAGGGGCAACGCCAGGCACGTGCCACTCTCCAGCCGTGAATATCCCGGTTCGTAGATACTCCTGCGGAATGGGCAGTAAGAGTGGGATAGAGGAAAGCAGCGCAAGTTAAGAAGCGCCATCTCTTGTCAGCGAACCGGGACATTAACAGCAGGAAAATGACATGGCATGTGCCAGGTGTAGCCCCTCGCGACTATCCATCCTCACCCGCATGGATAAACGCGAGAGGCTACACCTGGCACATCCCATGTCATTTTCCTGCTGTGAATATCCCGGTTCGCAGATACTTCTGCAGAACGGGCAATAAGAGTGAGGTAGAGGAGACGTGTGCGCTAGAAAAGAGCACGTGCATCGTCAGTTCCACTAGACCCAACCAATAGTTCTGCTAAGCTATCTCCCTACTCACATGCAGCTTCATCTCTCTGGCAGTTGAGAGTAGCGCTGCACTGCTGATAACATCGCTGCACTGCTGATAACACCGCTGCACTGCTGATAACATCACTGCACTGTTGATAACATCGCTGCACTGCTGAGAACATCGCTGCACTGCTGATAACATCGCTGCACTGCTGATAACATCGCTGCAGTAGCGCTGAGTCAGCACACCCTCATGCACATGCACTGCACGCACTGGATCCACCAGATCCATCCACCAGTTCAACTGCTTCACTACTCACATGCAGCTTCTTCTCCCTGGCAGTCGAAAGCAGCGCCTCATTGCTGATAGCATGGGTGCGCCGCTGAGTCAATGTACTCTCTCTTTCGTGTGCACACACTGCACTGCACTGCACTGCACTGCACTGCACCCACTACACCCATCCACCACTCTGCTATCGCCCTACTAACGTGTAGCTTCATCTCTTGTGCAGTCGAAGGCAGTGCATCATTACTGATCGCATCAGTGCCGCGCTGAGTCAGCACGCCCTCGTGCGCGTTGGGGAGCACCCACCACTAGACCCACTACACCCACTACACCCACTACACCCACTACACCCACTAGCCCACTTGACCCACTAGCCCACTTGACCCACTAGCCCACTTGACACACTTGACCCACCCACCAGTTCTGCATCTGTTTTTTTAGAATTCTCAATAAACCGATTCAACCTACTCACGTGCAGCTTCATCCCCCTGGCAGTCGGAAGCAGTGCCTCATTACTGATCGCATCGGTGCAGCGCTGAGTCCGCACACCCTCGTGCGCCGGGCACCTCCCACTAGCCCACTAGGCCCACCGGACCCATCCATCAGTTCAACCAGTTCACTACTCACATGCAGCCTCATCTCCCGGGCAGTCGAAAGCAGCGACTCGTTGCTGATAGCATCGGTGCGGCGTTGAGTCAACACACCCTCGTGCGTGTGCGTCTATGATGGATTTGACTCCAAAAGCTGAAAACGTCAAGGGTCAAAACGCCACGTTTTGACCCTTGACGCGTCAATCCGTTTTGAAGCTTGATGCTACTGGTAAAAAAATTCGGGCAGCCCGATTTTGAAAAAAAGAAGAAGAAAAAAAACCGAAATCGAAATTCCGCACTCAAAACGCGACCCGCCAAATTGAACTCGACATTTTGAGGCCCCAAAACAGGCACCAACCAAACCACACCCAAACCACCCTCCACCCCTTTGAAACTACTCAACCCAACCCATCCCCTAGTACTTCACCACAATTCTCCTTTGGAAACCCCATTCTTGACTGCCCCACATACCCTACAAATCCTGCCCCACAACCCCCCCCAACCTCTCTTAATCCCCCTGTTCCCAGTTTTTTTACCCCTGCCCGGGAATATTTTTTTGCCTGCCCGCCAGATGGTCAAACTGGGGGGTACCCCTCGGACAGGGGGCGTCAATAGCGTCAAAACGCTAGCGTTTTGACTCAGGGTCAAAACGCTGAGCGCGTCAAATCCATCATACGTGTGTGTTGCATCTTCAGCTTCTCTCGACTGACCAGTTCCACTCGAGCCGCCCAACCCATTAGCTACACAGCATGCCCTCGTGTGCTTGCACTGCACCCACTACTAGCCCACTAGACCCACTAGACAGACCCACCCAGCAGTTCAGCTATCTCCCTATTCACATGCAGTTTCATCTCCCTGGCAGTCGAAAGCAGCGCCTCATTACTGATAGCATCGGTGCGCCGCTGGGTGCATACATTGCACCCACTAGACCCATCAGACCCGCCCATCCACCAGTTCTGCTAAGGTATCTCCCTACTCACATGCAGCTTCATCTCCCTGGCAGTTGATAGCAGCGCCTCATTACTGATAGCATTGGTGCGCCGCTGAGTCAGCACACCCTCGTGCGCGCCGGACAGCTCGCGAAAAAGATGCGAGCTGAGCGCCGCCTTGAGAAAGCAGTCTCCCAGCAGCTCGTCCCTCTCGTAGGAGAATCCTTCACCCGTGGAGTAGGCCGTTATGGCGTGCAGGAGCTGCGAGGGTGAGAGCAGAGGACACTGTCATGCTTTTATACTTAGTATAGATATAATAAGATAGGTGCATGACATTGTGAAGGAGCATAATAGACTGTAGAGAAGTAAGGGGGAAAAGGGGAATGCTCGAGCGGGAACACAAAGCGAGCCGTGCGAAAGCACCGTTGCTCGGCAACGGTAACCACCGCTCACAATTACTTAAGCAGTAGCGCAAGTAGGGGATCTTTGCTTGCGAGTTTGTTTTCACACTAAGCTACAATTCAGGCTGGCGAAACCCCTAGCACCTAGCACGAGTGGAGCCAATCCTAGCAAGCACGATCTGAGCCAAGGAAGAGCAGTGAGTCTGCCGAGCTCAGCCCCCAGTGGAAGCAATCTCCTCTCAGAGAGTAGAGGAGCTTTTAACAAACTCGCAAGCAAAGCTAGCGTAAGAAGCAATGACCGACGAGTTTCGACTCAACTCTAGACTGAGTTACGCCAGAGAAAGCCAGCAAGCAACGCCCAGCTGGAGAGCGCAACCGAGGGTAGTGACGACGGGCGACAGACAGACCGCCGATCGCCAAAGCCCGCGGCTAACTCCCCTGTCGTATCGCACCCCGCACCAGAGAGCGCGAGAAGGAGTACGCGAAATGGAGGAGAAGCGACACATTAGTTCGGATCCAGGAGGAACCCCGATCAACCCGCAATGGGCGAGCGAAGCAAGAGCGCGGTGGGAGACCAGATACGAAACCCGGTCGCCGAGGACGATGCCGGGAATGAGAAGGCAAGCCGGAGAAGAGAAGGAGGAGTGGGCTCAGCGGAACGACAGCGGGGGACAGCTGACCCCGCGAGACCGCGCGCTGATGGAAAGCAGAGTCGCGATCCCGACTGACGCACGGCCTCGCCCAGAATCTCCCAAGGCACATCGCTGGACCACCGCCGGACTGCCCAAGATCGAAGTCGCCGAGCGATTCACAGGAATTCCAGGAGTGGGACCGTCGCTGAAAAACTACCTTATGCAGCTGGAGACGGTCAAGTACTGTTGGGAGAGAGACGGCATGGATCCCGGTGAGTTCTTCAGACGCATGGTGGTGACGCTCTCGGGAGAAGCGGAGACCTACTATCGGATGGTGCGTCAGGAGATACTGGAGGAAGCAGAATGCCAAGAAATAGAGAACCCGACGGCGAGGTTCCTAGAGATGCTGAAAAAAGAGTTCCTGGGGCAAACCAAATCGCGAGTAGAGGAGTTCCGCGAGTTCCGCCGGAAGAAGGACGAGTCCCTGCTCGCGTACTACTGCCGGCTGAAAGAGTTGGCCGACGACCTGGAGTGTAAGGAGGAGAGACTGCTGGTGCGCAAGTTCGTGCGCGGATTGGACGAGGAGCTGAAGGGGGTGGTGCGCAACAACGTGTACGGAATTGGAGCTGACATTACACTGAAGGAGGTGTATGGGTTGGCGAAGAGGACAGAACATGCGCAACGCCTGCTTGACCTCGAGGACGGAGAGACGCGGACGAAGCCCAAAACGACCTGGGCGGCAGCCGCGATGCTGGAGCCAGAGCAAGCAGCGGTGAGCCGCCCAGACAGCAGGAGATGCCACGAATGCGGAGACGCGGGACACCTGAAGCGGGATTGCCCGAAAGCTCCAACCTGCGAGAATTGCGGAAAGCGGGGGCACAAAAGGGCGGAGTGCTACAGCAGGAAGAGAGAAGAGGGGCCGGAGACAAGGGAAGGGCTGCAAGCAGAGATCAAGCGGTTGCAGCTGAAGCTAGAAGGAAGGGGGATCTCCACGCACAAGGAGAGAGCCATGCTGGCATACGAGGAAGTGGAGGGAGTAGAGGAGGAAGAGGAAGAATACATCAAGGAGTACTCCTGCATGGCTTACCCACGCGAAAGAGACGAGATAGACCTGAGGCCCCGAAACCCAACGACGCAAGAGAGTGGCACGACGGCAGAGAGAAGCCGGCGATACGAGCGGGCGGGGGGAGGCAGCGGAACGGGGATGCGCAGGCACCCAAACGAGCGGCTGGTCTGCCAAGCCTCCGTCCTCATAGCCGACAAGGGCGGCCTGACGGTAGGAGGCCTGCCCGTGGGGCAGGCCATCATAGATACCGGAGCCCACCACGTTCTGATCGGCAAGGGCCTGGCGAAGCAGCTGAAGCTGGATCTACCAGGACGCCTGGTAGAGAGAGGTATTCTTCTGATGACCGCCGAAGGGGGGGAGCCGAAATGGATGCCACGCACCCGCAGGCCCATTGAGGTGGTACTGCTGCCAGGGACAGAGAAGGAGTGTTGCATCAGGCTCATCTGCGGGGTCTCGGAGTCAGAGGACTATGACATACTGGTGGGCATGGAGCTCCTCTACAGGGTGGGGGCCACCATATGCATTTGGCAGGAAAAGGTTCTCTACAGAGTGCATTACTGGGACCCAGAGAGCTCGGTCGGCACTCTACCGGTGAAATCCGTAAGGCAGGAGAAGAGAGAGGCGTACCAGGCGCAGAGGAAGGACCTGTCGGAGGAGCTAGACGACTGGAGCTGGGAGCAGTACGCAGAGGAGTACGAGGGCAGGACCGAAAGGAGAGCGAGAGGGGAAGATCCGCCCTCCCTGAAGGAAAGGGTGAGCAGAGTGTGGGCACTGGAGAGTGCCCTCTGTGTACTGGAGCTGTATGGAGGCATCGGGACGGGCTTGGCGGCGGCACTGAAGGCGGGCTGCTTCGTCCGGAAGTGGGTACATGTGGAGAAAGACCCAGTGGTCCGGAGGATGGCCAGGCATCACGCCTTGAAGCTGCTAGAAGACTACCCCCAGCAGATGTTAAGTACAGCCATCCCCGCAGAAGATGAAGCCTCCGTGGATGACGTGAGGGATATCACCGAGGAGCAGCTGGAGAGATGGGGGCAAGTGGATCTAGTGGTGGCCGGATGGGAATGCCAGGGGTACTCCCGTGCGGGGGAAGGAAGAGGGATGGAGGACCCACGGGGTGCTTCCTTCAGGGATCTGCAGAAGGTGCTGGAGATGATACAAAGGAAGCAAGGAGAGGTAATCTATATCCTGGAGAATGTAGACCTGGCGGAGGACAGGAGGGAGCCCGTGAAGCTAGCCTTTGCAGAGATAGAGGCGGCAGTGGGAAGAGGGGTGGCAGTGGACGCCGCCCAGCTAGGATCCAGGGCGCATCGGCCCAGGAGATACTGGCAGAACGGGGTGTCAGAAGCTAGCCTGAGACACTCCCTGGCCCAGATGCAGCGCCCGGAACCAAGGCTGGTGAGCGATATCCTGGGGCCTAACAGACTGCCGGCGCCCGTCAAGATCCCAGACCATCCTTCACAGTACCAATGCAATGAGCCCGGAAAGCCACGGCAGGCGCTGCCCACCCTGGTCGCGTACGAAGGATCCTGGGGTTTCCGCATGGAGGGAGATCTCCCAGGGCCAGGAATGATCTACGACGTCAGAGCCGGGAAATGGGAAGAGCCGACTGCACGGGAAAGGGAAGCAGCCATGGGGCACAGGTGGGACGCCACGGCACATCCGAGAGTGACAGAGAAGCAGAGAAGAGCGGCGATAGGGAGGGCGATGGACCTCAACGTCATGAGCTGGCTGATTGAGACGATTCGCATGCACCTCAAGACGAAAGACATTCAAAGGGAGATAGAGATAAGCGTGAGATACCAGGAGGACTTGGAAGTGGAGAGGGGAAAAAGGCAGCTGCAAGCCATGGAGGAGCAGCAGGAAGAAAGGATCAGAGAAGGCTGGGCATGCATGGCCATGGAATGCGAAGGAGGAGAGAAGAGAGAGGAAGAGGCTGAGGAGGAGACGAAGGCAGGAGCAGTGAAAGAAAGGGAGAGGACACCAGAAGAGGAATGGCCCATAGGCTCAGGAATGGGGGCAGCAGCAGCCAGGGAACTACAGGAGGTGTTAAGGCAACACCGACAGTGCTTCGCCTACACGCTGCAGGAGCTAGGAGAATGCAAGTCACACGCCATGGAAATCAAGCTCACCACGGAGATACCGATCTACCAGAGGAAGAGACGGATGAGCCCAGGAGACATCGACATATGCATGGAAAAGTGCGCGGAGCTGCTAGAGGCAGGGTTGATCCAGCGCTCAGAAAGTGACTACGCAGCAGCGACAGTAGTGGCCTCGAGGAAGGACCTCATAGGGGAGGTGTCGGCGAGGAGAATGTGCGGGGATTACAGGGGCCTGAACAAGGTCACCGTGGCAGACCGATACCCCATGCAATCCGCCGAAGAAATCTTTGACAAGCTACAGGGGGCAGCTGTGTTCTCGACGCTAGATCTCAGACAAGGCTTCAACCAGATACCCATCAGAGCAGAGGACCGAAAGAAGACAGCATTCCATGGGCCAAACGGACTGTACGAGTGGAGGTGCATGCCGTTTGGCATGAGGAATGCCTCGGCGCTGTTCCAGCGAGTGATGGACGCAGTCTTGAGGAACGTGCCAGCCGCTGCCTGCTACATAGACGATGTCATCGTCTTCAGTCCCAGCCCCGAGCAACACGTGAAGGACGTGCAGGCCACCCTGGAGGCCATCCAGGGAGCTGGATTAACCTGCCACCCGAGAGAAGTGTGAGTTCGGCAGCAGGGCAGTGAAGTACCTGGGATTTGAGGTGCAGGGAGGGAAGATGAGCATCCAGCAGGCCAAGGTTGAGGTGCTGGATCGAGTACCCGCCCCCAAGGACCGGACAACACTAAGGGCGGTGTTGGGCTTCTTGAACTACTACCGCAAGTTCGTGCCCAACTTCAGCCGGACGGCAGCAGTACTGAATCGATTACTGCGGGAAGAGCAAGCATGGCAGTGGGGAGAGGCCGAGCAAGGGGCGCTGGAGGCTCTACTCACCAATGTGAAGACGGCTTCGGTACTAACCCTGCCCAGTAAGGAGGATCCCTTTGTGCTCTACACCGACTGGAGCAGTGCAGGCATGGGAGCCATACTGTGTCAGGAGAAAGAGGGGCAGGAGATGGTAGTGGCCTTCGCCAGCAGGAGCTGCAACCCGGCAGAGGCCAACTACTGCTCCTACGAGGGAGAAGGGTTGGCAGCCGTGTGGGGGGTCACCCACTTCCGTGTGTACCTGCAGGGCCGGCCCTTCACCCTAGTGACAGACCATCAACCCTTGACTTGGCTCATGACCAACCAAGCTCTCACCGGTCGGAACGCCAGGTGGGCGATGCGGTTGCAAGAGTACGAGTTCACCATCCGGCACCGACCGGGGAAGACGCTGCAGCATGTAGACGGCCTCTCCAGGAACCCTCCGCCGGACAGCCCCACAGCCTGCCTGGTCGCACTAGCCCGAGAGATTGACGGAGAAGGGGCCAGGAAGAAGCAGGAGCGAGGGCCCGATGATGTGTGGGAGGATGAAGAGGTGCTGAATTGGATACAAGGCAAAACGACAGAGGCCGGGCCAGCCAGCGAGCGAGCCCGGGCAAGAGGGGTGCATTACAGATGGTACCAGGACCAGCTGCAGAAAAACACTAAGGACGGGTGGAAGCTGGTGCCAAGGAGAGAAGAAAGAGAGCAGATAATAGCCAAGGTGCATCGGACGCTGGGGCACTATGGAAGTCTGAGGACCAGCCAGCTGGTAGAGACCGGGTGGTGGTGGGCGGGAATGCGGAGAGAGATAAAAGAGTGGGTAGATTCATGCGAGCTGTGTAGCAGGAACAAGGCAGAGCTGGAGAGAGGAAGAGAGGAGTTGCAGTCACTTCCCATACGAGGACTAGGGTTTCGATGGTCGCTAGATTTGGCAGGAGAGATGCCGCTGAGCCGCAGAGGGAAGCGGTACATACTCATCATGATAGAACACGGGAGCAAGTGGGTGGAGGTCAAGGCGTTACCCAGTAAGAACTCGGCGAAGATAGCAGAGGCGTTTGAGGAGCAAGTCCTCACCAGATTCGGCGCATGCGGAGAAGTCCTGACCGACCAAGGGACCGAATTCCTAGGAGAGTTCGAGAAGCTACTACAGGCGACAGGAATCACGCACCGAAGGACATCCCGCTACCACCCCCAGAGCGATGGGCTGACAGAGAGGTTTGTCCAGACTATGAAGAGGGGACTGCGGGCCTACGGAGAGAAATTCAAGCGAGACTGGGATGCACGACTGCCCTGGGTAGCTGCAGGATACCGGTTCAGTAAACAGGCAGCTCTGAAGGACGTGTCCCCATACTACCTACTGCTGGGGAGAGAGCCCATACTGCCAGTAGACGCACCGAAGCTGCTGACAGGAACCGTGACAGTGGCATCAGCGGAGAGTTGGGTGGGGCTGGCAGAGGCACGGGCCAGGTACCTAAGAGAACTGCTACCTGCAGCGCTAGAGAACTTGCACGTGGCTCAGCTCAGAGACGCGCAGCGATACAAGAAGAGGAGGGAGGGACAGGGAGCCGCTAAGGAAAAGCAGCTGGGAGTAGGGGAGGAGGTATATCTGAAGCAAGCGAGGCACGACATGATGGACATAGGCCTCAGCAACGAGCGCTGGAAGGTCAAGGAAGTGAAAGAGTCAGGAGTGGTAGTGCTGGTGAGCGAGGGAGGCAGGGAGAAGAAAGACCATCAGACCAACGTGGCACGAGCCCGACCAAGGCGGGGAGCTAAGGAAGACGGTGCAGGAACGGCAGAAGAAAGAATCCAGCAGCCAGGAGTAGAAGGAGTCCATCGGCTTGCGGCAGGAGCTAGGCAGCCGAGGAGGGGGCAAGTGCAGGATGCAGGTGGCAAGGCAAGGCAGGTACCCAGAGAGCTGAGGGCACTAATGCAGTGACGAGGAAGGTTGCAGAAGAGAGACAACACCCCAGCATCAGGAGCACAGGAGGCAGGGCCAACAGGAGGCAAGGCCGGGCAACCTGAAGCAAGACAGAGAGAGATTCCGACAACACAGATAGGGTTGGAGCAGTGAACACAGTCCTTTCTCCCAGCAGCTCATCCCTCTGGAGTAGGCCGTTATGTCGAACCCCTCTTCCGTGGAGTAGGCCGTTAAGGCGTGCAGGAGCTGAGGGATGGAGAGAGGTGAGGGCGGGGAGAGGTGCAGCAGGGGAAACTGAGCTGAGCGCCGCCTTGAGGAAGCAGCCCCCCAGCAGCTCGTCCCTCTCGTAGGAGAAGCCCTCCCTCGTGGAGTAGGCCGTTATGGCGTGCAGGAGCTGAAAAGAGGGAGAGGTGAGGGACAAGGAAAGGTGCGGGAGGGGAGAATCAAAGGGATGAAGTTAATGAATTTCCCTTCCCAGCAGCTCGTCCCTCTTGTAGGGGAAGCCCTCCCCCATGGAGTAGGCCGTTATGGCGTGCAGGAGCTGCGAGAAGGGCAGTCACATTCCATCTAAATCACACTCACCCAAGTCACAGCCACCTTAGCCACAGGTGGGTTTGAGAGCAGCCCTTCCATCTGAGCCTCCCGCCCTATCCTGTCCCTCAACTCCCCTGCTAGCAGAAACCCCCTCAACTCCCCTGCTAGCAGGCAGTGCAGCACAGAGGGCAGCAGCGAGGGCAGCAGGGCCGGCAGCAGGGAGGGAACCACCAATCACAGTCCCTCTAAATCACACTCACCCTGGCAACAGGTAGGTTCGAGAGCATCCCTTCCATCTGAGCCTCCCGCCCCATCCTGTCCCTCAACTCCCCTGCTAGCAGCAGCCCCTGCAGGCGGTGCAGCACTGAGGGCAGCAGCGAGGGTAGCAGGAGTGAACCACCGGACACAGCCCCTCTAAACCACCCTCCACCGAATCACACTCACCCTAGCCACTGGTAGCTTAGAAAGCATCCCTTCCATGTGAGCCTCCCGCCCCATTCTGTCCCTCAATTCCCCTGCCAGCAGCAGTTCTTGTAGTCGGTGCAACACAGAGGGCAGCAGCGAGGGACCACCAGGCACAGCCCTTTCAAACAACACTCACCCTGGCAACCGGAAGGTTGGAGAGTAGCCCTTCCATGTGAGCCTCCCGCCCCATCCTGTCCCTCAACTCCCCTGCTAGCAGCAGCCCCTGCAGGCGGTGCAGCACAGAGAGCAGCAGCAAGTGCAGCAGGGCAGGAACCACCAGTCACAGTCCCACCAAACAATACTCACCCTAGCAACAGGAAGGTTGGAAATAATTCCTTTCATACGAGCCTCCCACCCAATCCTGTCCCTCAACTCTTCTGCTAGCAGTAGCCCCTGCAGGCGGTGCAGCACAGAGGGCAGCAGCGAGGCGGCCTGGTAGAGAGGGAAGGCCATGAGTGGATGGAGCAGCTCGGGGGGGAGAAGCACGGAGAAGGGGCGAGAGGAGGAGGTGGAGGAAGAGGAAGTGGTCTTGGAGGCTGCAGGAGTGAAGGGGGAGAAGGGGAGGGAGGGGTTGGGAGGGGGGAGGGAAACAGGAGGACGAGTAGCGTAAGCACAAGAAGTTATGGTGTAGGAATAGCACAGAGGAAAGAAGCAAGAGCAGCAGCGAGAGCAGCACAGAGGGCAGCAGCGAGACGGCCTGGTAGAGAGGGAAGGCCATGAGCGGATGGAGCAGCTCGGGTGGGAGAAGCACGGAGAAGGGACGAGAGGAGGAGGCGGAGGGTGGAGAGGCCTTGGAGGCTGCAGGAGCGACACGGGGGAGGGGGGGAGTGAGTTTCGGAGGGCTGAGGGAAGCAGGAGTGGTAGGGTGAGAACGAAGCAATGGCGAAGGAATGGTGAAGGAATGGTGAAGGAATGGTGAAGGAATGGTGAAGGAATGGTGAAGGAATGGTGAAGGAATAGCGAAGGAATGGCGAAGGAATGGCGAAGGAATGGCGAAGGAATGGTGAAGGAATGGTGAAGGAATGGTGAACGAATGGCGAAGGAATGGCACAGCGGGAAGAAGCGAGAGCAGCACAGAGGGCAGCAGCGAGGCGGCCTGGTAGAGAGAGAAGGACGTGAGCGGATGGAGCAGGTCGGGAGACGACCTCAATTTTGCCCACAGCCTTACCTTTGGGCATGTCGCTTGGTGAGGGAGGCTTGAGGCAGGCCTTAGCGGAGGGAAGCGTGCGCATGAGCAGCAGAGGGGCAGATTCACAAGCTACTGCTGCCGCATTGCCACCCCCTCCCCACTGCCTCACCACCACAGCACCACCTCCACAGCCTCTCTACTGCCTCACCATCACTGCACCACCCACACAGCCTCCCTTTCCCACTGCCTCACCTTTGGGCATGTCGTTTGGTGAGGGGGGCTTGAGGCACGCCTTTGCGGATGGAAGCGTGCGCATGAGCAGCAGAGGCAGATGGGGACACACCAGCTGCACGCCGTGCCTGGTAGGGGACAGGGTTTTGGACCAGAAAGTTTAAGATGCATGATTTAACAATCACGGTCACACCAGCCACACAATGTGTTCGCATGAGCAGCAGGGTCTACCTCTCTTTGAAGTACTCCTCGAACGTGGCATAGCCTTCATTAGGGAAGCGACTTAGAGCCGTCAACACACCCTCTCCTCCACCCTCCTTTCCCCCCTCCCCATTCTTCTCCTCTCCCCTCTCCCCATCATCCCCCTCCCCCACCTCTGCCCGTCCACTCGTCCCATCAACGTTAGCTTCCTCATCCATCCTTCTCACCCCCAACCCTGTCTCCCCTTGCTCCGCCTCCCCCACTACCACCTTCCCCAGCCCAGCTTCCCCCCGCACTACCTCCCGTCCCCCAGCCTCCCCTCTTCCCGCCTCCCCCCTTCCCACCTCCCCCTTCCCCACCTCCCCCCGGGACACACGGTACAGCCACCCAGTGTGCCTGGCAACAACCACACACCCTCTCATGCGCTCTACTGCTGCCAGTTGCTCCTCCAGACTTAACCGCTGCATGTGCCTCCCCAGCACTCTCAGCCCCTGCTGCTGCTGCTGCTGCTGTTGCTGCTGCTCACAGCGCAACCCACCACGACACTGCTCCGCGGTAGCTTCTCTGTCTCCTCCCCCTTGCTCCCCCTCGTCTACTCCCCTTCCGCACATTTGCCCTCCTCGTCCCCCTTGTTCCTTTCTTCCTCGTTGTGGTTGCCTCCCCTCCTTTCCACCTTCCTTCTCCTTCCCCACTCTCTCCTCTCCCATTCTCTCTTTTTCCTCCACCCTCACCTCCCCCTCCCTCGTCGCCTCTCCCAGCCCCTCACTCCTCTCTCTAGCATCCACCAGCCACAGGGAAGCATCAGCGACAGACATGACTACAGCCCAGTCGATCGCCGCACACAACACCTCCTTCCACTCCTCCCCTTCGCCCCTTCGGCTTCCCTTTCCCTTTGTCTCCTCCTCCCTTTCTTCCTCTTCTCCAGACACACCCATATCCGCCTCTGCCTCTCCCCACAGCTTCCTCTTCTTTTCCTCTGGCCCAGTACAGACAGCTTCACAAGAGTCCATGTCGCCGCAAGCAGCAGCAGCGGTATCAGCATCAGCACCAGCAGAAGCAGCAGTGGCAACAGCAGCGGCACCAGAAGTCCCAGCGGTGGCAGCAGCAGCAGCAGCTGCAGCAGCACTAGCAGCACCAGCGGCAGCAGCTGCTGCAGCAGCACTAGCAGCACCAGCGGCAGCAGCTGCTGCAGCAGCACTAGCAGCACCAGCGGCAGCAGCTGCTGCAGCAGCCATGCCAGCAGCAGCAGCAGCACCCTGGCAGGGACTGCCCATGGACAGCGGTTGAGCCACAGGAGCAACTATATAGTGCAACGGGCTGTTCCAAAACGGGGATGGATGGTACTGGGAAGCACTACTAGGAGAAACATCGTCAGGGGCAGCACTACCATGGCCAGCACTAGGGGTGGGTGTGGCTTGGCAGCAGCGGCGGCAGCGGCGCAAGAGAGTGGCGAAGAGATGCGCGTGGAAGGACATGAGGAGTCGAGCCTGCCAGGGAGGGGAGCAGGTGGGGTAGTGAGGAGGGAGGAAAGCAGCTTCTGGTGCATTGAGATCACATGTGGTTTGGTGACAGCAGCGCAGGACAGTGGCAAAGAGATGCGCGTGGAAGGACATGAGGAGACGTGCCTGCATGGGAAGCAAGTAGGTGCGGGCAGAAGGCAGGGTGTGGTGGGTGGGAGAGGGGAAGGGCAATGTGATGTGAGGTGCGGACAAGATTTGTGTAGAAGGACATAGGCAGACGAGGCTGCATAAAAAAAAGAGGAGGGGAAAGGGAGCAGGGGGAAGCCAGGTGTGCAGCACAAGGTACACAAAGTCTCATACCTGACTGGCAGAGAGCACCACACGACCCATGGGAACCAGCTGGACTGTAGCATGGCCCACTCCCTTGGGGAACAGTTTGAACATCGCCGTCCCACATTCGCTACCAAGTTCCCCCGCGCACAAGAGGAGAAACTGGAAGGTATTTCGTGACGAGGCGAGGTTTGATTCAGTCTCCTCCTCTTGCTCGCCCTCCTGCTCCTCCTCTTGCTCCTCCTCTGGTCCCCCTCTACTTCCCTCACGCTCCTTACAGTCACGTTCACTGCCCTCCTCCTTAGTGTCACACCCTCTAGCATCCTCGCCATCACGCTTTCTTCCACCTCCATCTGCCCTCCTGTCTGCCTTCCTGGCCATGCGGATGTGAACACGATACACAAAATACGCCCGCCTTCCCTGCTCCTTCTCCTCCTCCTCGCCCACCCCTCGCTGCTCCCCCTCACCCGTCCCCTCCCATGGGAGGCGCATGGCGGAGGGGATTAGCTGATGCACGTGCATGGCAACACGGCGAGCTGACGGGGCGGGAGGGGGGGGGGAGAGGATGGGGGGGTTGATGGGGGGATGATGGGAGGATGATGAGGGGAGATGGTGAGTGGGGACGATGGGGGGAAGATATGATAGGGAGGCCCAGGATTTGCTGAGCACGTGCATGGCCACACGGCGAGATGACACGGTGGGTTCAAGAAGGATCATGGTTAGTGTAAACTGCACTTGTTTGGGAGGTCTCCTACAGGCAACAGTGGCAGCAATGTTCACAGCAACGGTGGAAGCAAACCCCACCCAACTCTCACAATGCCACGCCCCCACCTTTTTTCCACATTCCATGGCCACATGCCCCCCACCCCACCTCTCCCACATGCCCCCCACCCCACAACAAAAACCCACCTCTCTCAGGAGCCACAGTAGCACCGAACTTGCTCCGCCTCTTCTTCCCCCACCGAATCGGCAACAGCCGCTCGCTCAGCCGCCCAGAATCCAGCAGAATCCGTACTGCCTGCAGGCACACGGCTCTCCGGGCGGCGATTTTCGTCCGGCATGGCGGGCCGTGGATGGCAGGGACGCCGGCAGTGGCTGGCAGGCGGAGTGTGACTGTAAAGAGGCCCGCTGGAGGGTCGCTGGGAGAAGCTGCAGCTGCAGTGGCAGCACCGGTGGTGCTTGAATCGGCGGGTGAGGAGTTAACAGAGAAGAATGGCTGCAGCACGCCACTCCTGTGATGTGATGATGATGTGATGTTGGTGTGCATGGGGGGAAGGTGCGGGGTGTGGGTGGGGGCGGGAAAGGGGAAGTGGGTGGTTGGAAGCGTTGTTGAGGAAGTGGCATGGCATGGGAGGGGGGGACAAAGAGAGAAGCATGGCTGGAGACCACTCATGTGTGGTGTAGTGGTGTGACTTTTGAGACTTCTCAAAAAGTCACACCGAGAATTCTCAAAAGTCACACCAATATAGTTGGGGGACAGACAGAGAAGCATGGCTGGAGCCCGCCACTCATGTGTGGTGTAGTGTGGGGTAGAGAGAGGGGGAGAGGAGGTGAAAACGTGGGTAGATTAAAAAGAATATGTATATGTATATATATATATATTACACACACACATACACACACAAACACACACACACACACACACACACACACACTCACACACTCGGACACATTTTAACAGGCAACGCACCCGTCCTTGGCCCCCAAAGTGTTGCAGAGCTGAGACACCATCGCCCCTGTACTTGGCACCATCAGCACCCTGCTGCCGCCCCTCACCTTCTGAGTTGACCCAATTCAACCTACCCGTCATTGGTCCCCAAAGTGTTGCAGAACTGATACACAAGAGCCACACTGCCTTGCCTCGTCACCATCGCCCCTGTACTCGGCACCATTAGCACCCTGCTGCCGCCCCTCACCCCCCACCTACTCTCCACCTTCCCTTCCCCCTTCTCCACCTTCCCTTCCCCCCTCTCCTCTCCCCCCACACCCTCTCCCCCCACACCACCTTTCCCACTAGCCTCATTCCCTCCTTCCTCTGCCCCCACTTCCAGGTTCACCCTCCCATCCCAATCCACATCCATTCCCTCCCCTTCTCCTCCCTCCTCCGCATCTTCCTCCTCCGTTTCATCTTCCCAAAACGGCCCTCCCAGGTCTCTATCTCCTTCTGTCTCCCCTCGGTTCTCATTCTGGTTCTGGTTCTGGGTATTGCGCTGCTGCTGCACCGTGGCCTGCATGGTGCCTTCATTGCGCATGAACTTGGCTAAGTCCTCCTCGTACTTGGTATCACCACTGAGAGGGGAAAAGGAGGGAGAGGAGTGGGTCGTAGTAAAAAGGGTAAGAGCAAGGGGGTCTCAGGGACGTGTGCATGTGTGTCAGCAGCAGCCTGCCGCACCGTGGCTTGCATGGTGCCCTCGTTGCGCATGAACTTGGCTAAGTCCTCCTGGTACTTGGTATCGCCACTGATGATGGAAACGGGGGATCGGGGAGAAGGGAGAGGGAGAGGTGTGAGGGACGTGTGCATGTGTGTCAGCAGCAGCCTGCCGCACCGTGGCTTGCATGGTGCCTTCATTGCGCATGAACTTGGCAAGGTCTTCCTCGTACTTGCCATCGCCCCTGGTGTGGGAATGGGAGAGGGTTGTCAGGGGCATAAGCATGTGCTTTGGCAGCTGCCTGCTGCACTGTGGCCTGCATGGTGCCCTCTCCTCATTGCGCATAAATTTGGCTAAATCTTCCTCGCACTTGTTATCACCGCTGGAGAGAGGAGAGGAACGGAGGGGAGAAGGAAAAGGTGGGAGGAGAGGAGGTGGGAAGAGGTGGGAAAAGAGAACGGGTTAAGGTCGGTACAAGTGGAGTCCCCCACAGGGGCTGCCCCTGAACGGTGCGCTGCTGCTGCACGGTGGATTGTATGGTGCCCTCGTTGCGCATTAACTTGGCCAAATCCAACCTAAGCTACCCCCCCCCAACCGTTGCACAAGCACTCGGAAATGTGCCCCGGGTTTCCGTGCCCTGCGCGGGACTGCAGCATGGAGCGCACGTTGAGAATGAGCATGGACACACCTCACATACATGACTTAACTCACTCCAGTGAGTGAGCTATGCTTAATGGCATGGCAACCACCGCTGCACAAGCACTCGGAAGTGTGCCCCTGGATTCCTCGCCCTCCCACACGACTGCAGCATGGAGCGCACGTTGAGAATGCGGAATTCCAACCCACCCACCCTAACCGACTCAAACTCACTGTTGCACGAGCACTCGGAAGTGTGCTCCTGGCTTCCGTGCCCTCCCACGGGACTGCAGCATGGAGCGCACGTTGAGAATGCGCATGAACACACCTCACATACCTCCAATACCTAACAACACCGTGAGTGAGTTATGCTAATCACACCCACCGCTGCACAAGGACTCTGAAGTGCGCCCCTGGCTTCCTCGCCCTCCCACGGGATTGCAGCATGGAGCGCACATTGAGAATGCGGTCGAATCGGATCACCGTGTGACATGCCGGTATGTCCATGCCCTCCTCTGCTGCACTCGTTGCCACCAGCACGTTCAGCTGTGTGGGGGAGGCACGGGGAGAGAGAGAGAGAGATGCAGGGCGAGAGTGAGGTGGCAGAGAGTAGCAGCGTTGGGAATGCGGTCGAATCGGATCACTGTGTGGCACGCCGGAATGTCCATGCCCTCCTCTGCTGCACTCGTTGCCACCAGCACGTTCAGCTGCAGAGAGAAGCGAGACATGCGGGGCGAGAGGAAGTTAAGGTGAGCCACGAAAACAGTGTGGCATGCCGGAATGTCCATGCCCTCCTCTGCTGCACTCGTTGCCACCAGCACGTTGACCTGCAGGGAGGGGGAGAGATGCAGAGGGAGAGCGGGAAGGGGGGGTGGGAAGGGGGGAAGGGGGGAAGGGGGGGAAGGGGGAGGGAGCGGGGGGGGGGCGTTGTTTGTGTGGCACGCTGGTATGTCCATGCCCCCCTCTGCTGCACTCATTGCCACCAGCACGTTCAGCTGTGGGAAGCAAGGTAGGCGAGGTAGAGGAGAGAAACAGCGAGGGAGCAGATGGTTTGAGGGAATGTGTGGCATGACGATATGTCCATGCCCTCTCCCTCCTCTCCCCTTCCCCTCTCTACCCCCTCCCCCTCTCTCCCTTCCCCTCTCTCACCTTCCCCGCACGGAAGCGTGAAATAGCAGAATCCGGCCGCGAGTGCTTAGCTGTCCCGCCCTGATTGGCCGAGATCCCAATCTTGGCAGCCCCAGCACCAACCACAAAATCCGCCTTCAATGAGGCAGCGACCAAGGGCAGCAGGCGGAGGAGTCGAGAGAGGCTGTGTGCGGTGACAATGCGCTCCACGAAAATGACTATGGTGGGGGACGGCTGGGAGGAGTAGAGGCGGAGGAGGGAGAGGAGGTGGGCGATTTTGGGAGTGAGGAGAGCAGAGGGGTGTGATGCCAGGGCGAGGGTGGCTTCTAGTCCGCCTGGGCCTGGTTCTTTGGCCTCTGGATTTACGTTGAGGGGAGGAACAAAGGGGGACGGACAGGAGATTGGTAGAGGAGGTGGGCGAGTTTGGGCGTGAGAAGAGCAGAGGGGTGCGATGCCAGGGCGAGGGTGGCCTCTAGTCCGCCTGGGCCGGGTGCCTTGGCCTCTGGATTCACATTGAGGGGAGGAACGGAAGGGAGGGGGGTGGATGGGGAGGGGAGAGCGGGAGAGGAGGTAAACGAGTTCAGGGTGAGGAGGGCCGCAGGGTGAGGGAGACCTGACAACAGTACCTTGTAACCAGTCCGCGCAAATTCTTACCTGATGGTAGTGCACATCTCAAAAACGCCTCGCAGCGGTTGATGAACTCCAATCGGACGGCTGCAAACGCGTTTCGCAAGCGGACATTCTCTTCATGCAGGTCCATGCCCCCACTGGCTGCCTGAGTGCGCAGCGAGTGCAGCGCCTGATGTGTACGGGGTGAGGTGAAGAGTGGTAGGAATGCGGGGTAGTGACCAAAGTCACTGGGGCACCTGTCGATCAATGTGATTGGGACGTTGCCACTGTCAACACTGCTGGCAAGCAGACTCTCTGCTGATTGCAGTCGCGCATCAGGGCAGTGTTTCATGGCAGCAAGAAGGAGGCCATACCAGGAATGCAACGCATGTGATACCTGAGACCACAGTGAGAAGGCCATACGATCGTACCAGGAATGCGGGGTAGCGGCCGAGGTCAGTAAGGCACCAGTCGAGGGCTCCTGCAAAGTACTTGACTCGTTTCACCATCCTCCGCCGCACCTCCCCATACGCTGCAGTCCACCTCTGCTGGTAGTTGGGTTGGTGATCGTGATCGCCTTGCTGCCCGCCCCTCCCCTGCTCTTGCTCCCTCCCCTCTTCCACCCGCCCCCCACTCCCCCCCTCCTGGCCCATCCCCCCACTCTCATCCACCACCCTCCTCCCCTCCTCTTCTATCCATTGCACCATCCCCTCCCTCTCCTGCTCCACCCTCCCCCGCAGCTGCAGCAGCACCTCCGCCTGCTCCTCGCCAGGGGGGTCGTAGTGGGACTGAATGGTCTTCGCGCTGGGTAGCACCTCCACCAGACACGACCTGTCCAGAACCGTGTAGAGCTGGGGGAGACAGAATGGGAAAGGGGGCGAGAAAGGGGGAGGAAGGGTGGAAGGGGGGGAAGAGAGGGAATGGGGAGAGGGGGGAAAGGAACAGGGAGAACAGATGACCCCAGCACTTGGAAGCTAGCACCATGCCCTCTCTCTCCTTCTCCACCCTCTCCCTTAGCTTCACCAGCACCTCTGCCTGCTCCCCATCAGGGGGGTCGTAGTGGGACTGAATGGTCTGCGCGCTGGGTAGCACCTCCACCAGACACGACCTGTCCAGCACTGTGTAGAGCTGGGGATACAGAGGGGAAAAGGTGGGGAGAAAGGGGAGGGAAGGGGGGGAGAAGGGGGGAAGGGGGGAATGTGGGGGAAGGGGTAAAAAATGGGGGAGGGGGGGAGCGAGGGGAACAGATGACCCCAGCAGTAGGTAGCACCATGCCATCCCTCTCCTTCTCCACCCTCTCCCTCAGCTGCAGCAGCACGTCCGCCTGCTCCCCATCAGGGGGGTCGTAGTGGGACTGGATGGTCTGCGCGCTGGGTAGCACCTCCACCAGACACGACCTGTCTAGCACTGTGTAGAGCTGGGAACAGAGGTGGGAGAAGGGGGGGGCGTTACTCCAGCACTAGGTAGCACCTCCACCAGACACGACCTGTCCAGCACCGTGTAGAGCCGGGGGAAAAAGTGCAGACAATGGAATAAGAGAGGAGGAGGGAGGGGGGAGAGGGGAAAAAGCAGAGCACATGACCCTTCCACTGGGTAGCAGCACCTCCAGCAGACTCGACCTGCCCACTACAACTACTCCAGTCACACCTGTGTAATACCTTGATTCCAATGCCACACATTTGCATCAAGCATCACCCCTTGGAGTCAAGAATACACTCGCACGTTCGAATTAAGTGACACAACTTGGAGTCAAGCGTTACAATAGTAATCAAGAGTGGCACTCGTTTGAATCATCAATCAAGCATCACACCTTGGAGTCGAGAACCCGCTCAAAGTCAAGCAGTTGCCGCACGCACGACTCCTCCGACCTGAGTGTCGCCATCACGCACCTTCAGATCACCAGAACTCACACCTTCAAACCCACCAAGTGCCACACCTTGGAGTCGAGAATTCGCTCAAAGTCCAGCAGCTGTTGCACGCACGACTCCTCCGACCCGCTGCCGTTGGTGTTGATGGGCGACGCTGTCATGCCAAACACCAGCGCCCCCTCTTTCCCCCCTTCCCCAGCCTCTCAGACCCAACCTGTCTCATACCCAACCTGGCCCATACCTCTCGTCAAGCACCACACCTTGGAGTCCAGGATGCGTTCAAAGTCCAGCAGCTGTTGCACGCACGACTCCTCTGACCCACTGCCCTTGGTGTTGATAGGCGATGCCGTCATCCCAAATACCAGTGCTCCCCCCTTTCCCCCCTTCCCCAAGCCTCTCAGACTCAACCGGTCCCTTAACTCTGCTACGTACGCACCTGTGTCACCACCTGTTGCCAATGCATAACATCGAATAAGCGCCAGATCATTCAGTCAATTGGCACACCTCTGAACTAATCAAGCCGGCCACACACCTTGGAGTCGAGAATTCGCTCAAACTCAAGCAGCTGCTGCACGCACGACTCCTCTGACCCACTCCCCTTGGTGTTGATGGGCGACGCTGTCATGCCGAATATCAGCGGCCGGTCCGCCTGCTTCAAAGAGAAGTACCACGTCTGGTTGGATAAGGTTGGTGAGGGATAGAAAAGACTTGGGCGGGATTCACTTGCTTCCCTCCTCCGACCCGCTGCCCTTGGTGTTGATGGGTGATGCTGTCATGCCGAATATGAGCGGCCGCTCGCCCTGCTTCAGGGAAAAGTACCACGTCTGCTCTCGGATAAGGGTGGTAAGGGATCGGAAAGGGTTGGACGGGATTCACTTGCTTCCCTCCTCCGACCCACTGCCCTTGGTGTTGATGGGCGACGCTGTCATGCCGAATATGAGTGGCCGATCCGCCTGCCTTAAGGTTAAGTACCACGTCTGCTCGGATAAAGATGAGAGATCAGAAAGGCGAGGGATTGGAGACGATTCAGATGTTGTAGGCTCGTAGATAGATATGGATGCTCCTTGGCGGTGTGGTTGGCACGAGAATAAAAAAAAAAAAACTGAAGAGAGGAACAGGAAGGCGAATCTCCCTGCAACTCTGACTCGCAATAAGGCTCAGTTCACCTTCACTATAGTGGCGTAGGGGTGGTCGTTTGTGGTGCAATTGCACTGAAGATTAGAGGGTTAACTGGAGACAGATCCTATCCAGCTCGTCTTAAGCTCACCTTCATTATAGTGGCGTGGGGGTGGTCCTCCTTGGTGGTGCGATGGGATGGCACTCGTCTAATATGAGGAGGTGCACTGAGGAGAGCGACAGGAAGGCAGGTCTGTCTGCCCTGCCCCCATGCCCCCCCACACTGACTAACACTTCACAACATTGCGCTTCACTTTCATTATAGTGGCGTAGGCATGGTCCTTGGCGGTGTGATGGGAGTCGTCGAATATGAGGAGAGGAGGTCGACTGAGGAGAGGGATAGGAAGGCGTTTTTTTCTGCCATAATGCCTCTTGCTTCACAGTAAGGGGGGTTCACCTTCATTATAGTGGCGTAGGCATGGTCCTTGGCGGTGTGATGGCACTCGTCGAATATGAGGAGGTCCACTGACGAGAGACACAGGAAGGCATGCTGCAGGAGGTTCACAAGCACCTGAGGCGTCATCACCAGCACCTGGAGAGGTGAGGGGGGATGGCGTGCGCACAGACAACGCAGCACAAGTGAGGCTAGAGGGGCAGGGGAAAGAGTACGGTATGGGGGGATGAGAAGGCGTGGTGCAGGAGGTTCAAGAGCACCTGAGGCGTCATCACCAGCACCTGAGGTGGCGTGGGAGCAGAGAACACAGCACAAATGCAAGCAAGACAGGCACGGGAAGGAGCATAGAAGGTGGAGACAGGAAGGCATGCTGCAGGAGGTTCACGAGCACCTGAGGCGTCATCACCAGCACCTGAGGTGGCGTGGGAGCAGAGAACACAGCACAAATGCAAGCAAGACAGGCATGGGAAGGAGCATAGAAGGTGGAGACAGGAAGGCATGCTGCAGGAGGTTCACGAGCACCTGAGGCGTCATCACCAGCACCTGGAGAGGTGAGGGGGGATGGCGGAAAGAGTGTGAAGAGAGCGACAGGAAGGCGTGGTGCAGGAGGTTCACAAGCACCTGGGACGTCATCACCAGCACCTGGAGAGCAGCAGAGGAACCACGGACAAGGGGGGTAGGGATAGCCAAGGGGGGGGCAGGAAGGTGTGTTGCAGCTTCCAGGGTTCAAGGTGTAGGGTTTAACAATGAGCCAGGTGGCAAGAAACCCTAAAACCTGCATGTACTAAAACGCACGCACCTCATGCTGGGAGACCTGCTGCTGCACCCACGTGGCCTCGTATTTGATCTCTGTGTCTGTGCTGTGCCTCCCCACCCGCATGTCCCTCTCGCCCGTATGACCATAGGCAATGAGCCTGCCTGAACTTGCCGATGCTAAGAGGCACGCACCTCATGCTGGGAGACCTGTTTCTGCACCCATGTGGCCTCGTATTTGATTTCTGTGTCTGTGCTGTACTTCCCAACCCGCATGTCCGTCTGCTGCTCCACCACTGCCGCTTGCTGCAGTGAGGGGATGGAAGCAAGGGGATGGATGAATACACAAACAAGAACGTGCCTCGTTTGCATGGATGAACACGCAACCAAGATGTGTGACGACTCCCAACCCGCATGTCCGTCTGCTGCTCCACCACTGCCGCTTGCTGCAGTGAGGGGATGGAAGCAAGGGGATGGATGAATACACAAACAAGAACGTGCCTCGTTTGCATGGATGAACACGCAACCAAGATGTGTGACGACTCCCCACCCGCATGTCCGTCTGCTGCTCCACCACTGCCGCTTGCTGCAGGAAACAGTGGAAACAGGGGGGCGGGTTTACACACAATCATGTGTCGCATGGGCATGCATGAACACACAACCACAATGTGAGGCGTACCCCACTCGCATGTCCGTCTGCTGCTCCACCACTGCTGCTTGCTGCATGGATATGTGGAAGCAAGGGGATGAAATCACAAACAATCATGTGCTATACTAGCACATACTCACACACAACCAGGATTTGTATCACAATTGAAAACTGTATGCATCTTCAGACTTCCAGAGTCCCGATGATCAAGCCAACTTTCACTCATTGTTTGGCCCGATATTGCCACTCTCACTTGTCTTCCAACACCAACCTGAATCACCAGAGCAATCGCCGGCACCAGGAAGACACAGATCTTGTGTTGTGGAGTGAATCAAAGGTCGCCTTCCCTGTCAGACCCCATCCTATCCACCACTCTCAACTCACTCCTTTCCCTGGACCAACCTGAATCACCAGAGCAACCGCTGGCACCAGAAAGACACATATCTTGCCACTCCTCTCCCGCATCTGACGGCGAGCCTGCATGAGAGCATGAGGAAGGAAGAGAGTGGTAAGACACTCAGCAGTAAGCAGGACTACCATAGACGAGTGACCCAACAATTCCCAATGCGATGACAATGTTATGCTGCGTCAAGCACTAAAATCCAACGAACCTCGTTTCAATTTAGACAATTGTAATCTGATTCAGTCAATTTCAGTCTGATTCGGTCAATATTACCCAGACTCGTCAAATGCTATACAAATTCACACAATATTGTCAGTCAACGGCATTCTAGAACACCTTGTGCCATTCTATCTTAGAAAAGGACCTCCTGATCAGCTCAATTTATTGTCTTCCTGATTCAGACTCACCTGCATAGGCATGACAATAAGAGTCTTCCCCATGCCTGTCCGTCGATCATCATGCATGTTATAAGACAATCGTGAATAAGAGCCATAATCACCTGCATGAGCATGACGGCAATCAGAGTTTTCCCCATGCCGGTTTCCAGGTAGACTATAGTGTTGCGCTCCAGAGCCACCTGAAGAACCTCCTGCTGGTACCTGCAGCAGAACCGAGAAAAACAGCGGGTGACACAGAGAAAGTGGGTGAGAGAAGGGGTAGTACAGCGATCCGGGTGATTGAAAAGTCCCCTTAAGTGGCATGACTTACTCAAAAGTCCCAACGGGACGGGTAATTGAGGGATCACCTTAAGCGAGAAACGAGTAGAAAAGAAACAAAACAATAAATCCTTAGATTTTGCAGGAATTCAAGAAGGATTGTGAAGCGGAAAGTCCAAGAGCTGTCACGAGAAAAACGTCACCCACTGTCGCAGCTGCAAAATAATATTCTTCCTTTTCTTCGTGCTCGCGATTTCCCCTCCATTAGTCCTCCTCCCCGTCCGCTTCATCATCCTTCCTGAATCGTTTCCCAAGCCAGATCCCGTCCCGCCTCCTTGGTGCTTGCTCCGTTTCTGTGCGTTCTCATCCCCTCGCCTCGCCGTCTTCGATTCTCCCTGAACCGCGTCCATCGCTAAACGAGGAGACGCAGGTCCGTCAAACATTGACGAAAAAAAAAGGGCTAAAGGTTTCCCTACTCTATTGTGCAAATCCTGCGATTCCTACGAAAATCGGAAGAAGAAACGGCAACTGAGACGATGCAATTGAGACGATAATTGCTCCGCCGTAACAAACACATCATCTTCACAACACCATGTCTACTCCCTCCACAGCCAGCACTGAAACACATTTGATGTCCCTGACGAGTCATGGCTTGCAATGTCATGCTGGTTGTCCCTGTCAGTCTTTCGAGAGAATTGCTCCAGGGCCTTGTTTGGTGATTCGCTCTTGCCCACGTGTCCCCGAATTGCTCGCGTGGCCATCCAATTCAGTGATAATTGCTCGAGTGGCCATGCCAGGGCATTTTCGAGGTGTTTTTTTTTCCCTGGCACATTACCCTACAAGGGTTCGTACCCCCGAAATTCCTCGTTCGCACAGCAGTAGATGCGCGGCCATTTTCGGCCCAATGCGCGACCAATGAGCGCGTGGGCAAATACATCAGCGATCATAAACTGCAACGCTGAAGCATAAATGCACGAAAATATTATTGACCGCGCACGATTGATTGATAATATGCTTCTTGCCCTTTTTGGCAATGCGCGTCCAATCACGTACGGTCATATAATTCATGACCATATATTTAGGCGATAAAGGGTCGCCCAAAAACCAATATGAGCGCGCATATAGTACCATTAGTTCTATCATATTTCCGGTCCATATAAAACCATATATATCAAATGCCAAAAATATATTCTCTGTTATTGATTTAAGCCCATCATAACCGTGGTGGCAGCATATTATGCTGGGCTTAAATTAATATTATACTGCCCAACATATTATTTCTGCAACCATATTACCGGCAATACAATATTATGGACCACGGTAAGATGGGCTTAAATTAATATTCTGATGGGTCACGATACAATATTATGTCTCGTATGATGGGCTTAAATTCATAGCAGAGAATATATTTATGCCATTTGATATGCATGGTTCTATATGGACCGATATATGATAGAACTAATGGTACTATATGCGCGCTCATATTGGTTGTTGGACGACCATTTATCGCCTAAATATATGGTCGTGAATTATATGACCATGCGTGATTGGAGGCGCATTGCCAAAAAGGGCAAGAAGCATATTATCGACCAATCATGCGCGGTCAATAATATGTTCGTGCATTTATGCTCCAGCGTTGCAGTTTATGATCGCTGATGTATTTGCCCACGCGCTCATTGGTCGCGCATTGGGCCGAAAATGGCCGCGCATCTACTGTTGTGCAAACGAGGAATTTCGGGGGTACGAGCCCTTGTAGAGAAATGTTCCAGGGAAAACAAACACCTCGAAAATGCCCTGGCATGGCCACTCGAGCAATTATCACTGAATTTGATGGCCACGCGAGCAATTCGGGGACACGTGGGCAAGAGCGAATCACAAAACAAGGCCCTCGAGCAGTTCTCTCGAGAGAATTGCTCCAGTGCCTTGTTTGGTGATTCGCTCTTGCCCACGTGTCCCCGAATTGCTCGAGTGGCCATCCAATTCCGTGATAATTGCTCGAGTGGCCATGCCAGGGCATTTTCGAGGTGTTTTTTTTCCCTGGCACATAACCCTACAAGGGTTCATACCCCCGAAATTCCTCGTTCGCACAACAGTAGATGCGCGGTCATTTTCGGCCCAATGCGCGACCAATGAGCGCGCGGGCAATTACATCAGCGATCATAAACTGCAACGCCAGAGCATAAATGCACGAACATATTATTGACCGCGCACGATTGGTCGATAATATGCTTCTTGCCCTTTTTGGCAATGCGCGTCCAATCACGCACGGTCATATAATTCACGACCATATATTTAGGCGATAAAGGGTCGCCCAACAACCAATATGAGCGCGCATATACTACCATTAGTTCTATTATATTTTCGGTCCATATAAAACCATGTATATCAAATGCCATAAATATATTCTCTGCTATTAATTTAAGCCCATCATAACCGTGGTGGCAGCATATTATGCTGGGCTTAAATTAATATTATGCTGCCGAACATATTATTTCTGCAACCATATTACCGGCAATACAATATTATGGACCACGGTATCATGGGCTTAATATTATGATAGGCCACGATACAATATTATTTCTAGTACGACGGGCTTAAATTAATAGCAGAGAATATATGTATGGCATTTGATATGCATGGTTTTATATGGACCGGACATATGATAGAACTAATGGTAGTATATGCGCGCTCATATTGGTTGTTTGGGCGAAGCTTTATCGCCTAAATATATGGTCGTGAATTATATGACCGTGCGTGATTGGACGCGCATTGCCAAAAAGGGCAAGAAACATATTATCGACCAATCGTGCGCGGTCAATAATATGTTCGTGCATTTATGCTCTGGCGTTGCAGTTTATGATCGCTGATGTAATTGCCCGCGCGCTCATTGGTCGCGCATTGGGCCGAAAATGACCGCGCATCTACTGTTGTGCGAACGAGGAATTTCGTGGGTACGAACCCTTGTAGGGTTATGTGCCAGGGAAAAAAAACACATCGAAAATGCCCTGGCATGGCCACTCGAGCAATTATCACTGAATTGGATGGCCACTCGAGCAATTCGGGGACACGCGGGCAAGAGCGAATCACCAAACAAGGCACTGGAGCAATTCTCTCAGTTCTCTCCTGTCTTTCACTCGCAGACATTCCTTGGCGGTTGCTTGCATGCTGATGTACGCTGCTCCGATGTGATGGAAATTTGGCGGCTCCGATGTGATGGAAATTTGGCTTCACATATAAGCTTAGTTGCAACGAACATATTAGAGTGTACCTTGTGTGAATTTTCTAAAAAAAAAACAAACTGCAAAAAGGTGTTAAGTTAAAATCGAATTCAAACCAAGCATACACCAGCTAAAAAGTTTGTGTGTTCTAGCACTCAAGAATGGCAAACGAGCCTAACGAACTGTCAACTTCCGACGGAGCAAACCCCACCAGGCTATTCCCCGTTTCGATGAAACAACATGCTGCTCACTTGTTGCAGTCTCCTCCTTTCTGCCCGAATCAAGCTGCATCGTTACATCTGCCCCTCTCTCCACCTCAGCTTCCACTCCAGCTACAACAACAGCTACAGCCGCATCAGCAGCAGGACAGGCTGTCACAACGTTCCCTGCACACACCTCCTCTCTCAGCCGATCCGTTCCATCCAAACTGCTCCTTCTCTTGGCAGCTTCAGTATGGTTACCCTCCACAAAGGTGCTTGATTGGGGAATGGTGCTGCTGCTGCCACTGATGCTTCTTCACCCCCCTCTTTTCAATTCGGAAAGAGGCGACGAGAACCATCCGTTCCCCTTTTCTCTCAGGAAGGCTTTGGAGCCAGACTTTTGAAACAAAATGGGGTTGCCTTTCCCTGACTGAACTTCGCCGTTGCTGCAGCTGCCGCTGCCACTATTATTTCCAGCTCAACTGTCTAGGCCACAGGTGGGTGATGCAGAGAGGGGTTGACAGAGGGTGTCATGTCGGGATTCGGATTCAGGGATGAGTCTAGATTCGGTGCGTGTGACAACTGAGGTTGGTCTTAATGGATCCTCCTTAGAAGCTTCTCCAACACCTGCAAGGCTGATTTCCACACTCCGAATGCTGTTAGGAGTAACAGTCTCTTGGCATTGATCCTCTGGACCTGCTTGCAGGGAACAGAGAAAGAAACAGGGGAAGACATACCATTGGAGGAAGAGATAGAGTTGAAACGAACTGCACACAACAGGCAAAAGGAAACTGAATACTGGATATAGTATACAGTGTACGGGGTGTAGCCACTTTAGGATCTATACACCTGAGATTTCACGGATGCTAGTTCAAATTGTTGGACAGTGTTCTCTTGATAATGGAGTCTCGCACGTAACGAAAAAAGCAGGTTCACACAAGGCAGAGGATGAGGGTCATTACAAGGCACAGGTTCGGCTACTGGCTCGGAGGCTGCTCCTGACCTTGCCTCGTGCTCGCAGGCTTGGCGAACTTAGACCCTCCCGACAAGAGCCAGCCGAAATACTCCGTGTCTGTTACAACCAGGCACATGTCACCAACCATCCGGTTAGGAGCAACAATTGGATGAAATTACTGGTGGTCAGCAGTTTCAACTTGCAAGCAGAAAGGAGGAGAAGCAGGAGAAGGGAGGGGCGGACGGGCATGAGCATGAGCACGAGCGTGGGCATGGGCATGGGCATGCGTAGCAGCGCGGCCATGGGGGCATGGACATGGGCAGGGGCAGGGGCATGGTCATGGGTATGGGTATGGGCATGGGAATGGGCATGGGCATCAGTATGGGTATGGCGTGAGTATGGGCATCAGTATGGGTATGACATGAGTATGGGCATGGGCATGGGCATGGGCATGGGCATGGGCATGGGGAGGATGATGACGAGAAACGAGCTGACATTCTGCAGAAAATCGAGCAGTTGAGCAGAGGGGAGGAAAGGCCGAAATGGGGACTGAGGAAGGCGAAAAAGACGTTAGGAGCAGGGGCTAAACGTTTTACGTAGTGTATGTTATGTTAAAGTGTTATAATGTAGCTACATTGTTGAGGCTTACCTGCATATTCCGAATCCTCTTGACCAACCCCGAGCTTATCCATAACCGAAGAAGAATTTCCCCCTGATTTCTCCCTGGACCGCATTCCGCCGAGCGGTTTGATTTTCGGCACAGCTGCTGCCGATTTCGCCAGCTCTGCAAACTCGGGGTAACTTTTCGATCGCGATCTTTCCAGTTTCGCCGGTTCTTCGCGAGCAGGAGCGTCCAACGAAACCCTTGGCGAAGTTTTGTGGTCGTCGACGTAGCTGCTGTAACTGCTACCTTGATATGGCTGCATGAATGCCGAGTCCGCATTCCCCGCCGCGTTCGCCGCTCCTCTGTTCGCACCCCAGACGCGCATTGCGGCAAGAACTTCCGACGTTTCGACATTCACCGATCCTCGCGACGGAGGCTTCTTATCCGCATTTTCCAAGGCGCTCACGCTGTTACTTTTTCTCATCTCACTCTTCTCGTTGGTATCCACTTTCGGCGCGTCGTTTTCGCTTGTCGCTGAGCTTGTCGCGTCCTTAATCTTCAGCCCTGCGACATCTGCGACAGCCTCGGCGACGTGATCCGGTTTCGCATGGTCGGAATAAGAAGGAAACATCATCTCTTCTACCCCCGAAGCATTTTTTACCCCGTCGTCTCCATTCGCGTTGACCGAAGTGGAGCTTCCGCCATCGGCTTGGTTACCACTTTGCGAGTTGTCGTTGCCCGTCGTCAAAAAGCTGTCCAGCGACGCGTTCGCGTTCGTACTCGCAGCAATCCGATTGCGAAACTTTTGCTTCGGGGGAGAAGAACCCGTCGCAGAATCCGAGGCATCTGAGTCCACTATCTGCTGCTGTCGCGCAGCCTTCAGGTGTTGCGACGCCGTCTTGAGGTGCATTGGATCGACGACGGTCGCCGGCGCCGCATGGCGACGGGAATGGTGGTGCGACGACGACGACGACGACTTGTGCGACGCAACGGGAATGTCGGCGATGGAGAGGAGCTCGGAGAGAATCTCTTTCTCTGATGCTTTGTGCGACGAATGTTTGTGCGACGAATGCTGGTGCGATGAAGGGTCGGTAGCTGGAGCTGAGGCTGGTTCCTGCGTGCAGTCCGCAGAGGGAGCTTGTTCGGCCATGAGATAACCGCCTTGAATTCGTTCCCCGACCTTTCGCTCTGGGAGAAATGAATGGGATGAGCGACGCTCACGCGAGCTGGTCGATGTTGATAGAGAAGGTGAACAAAGCAGCTAAAACAATATAATTCGTCCTTGAGAAGGAAGCTTGGATGGTCAATGGTTTGTTTGGTGGGATGGGACCGTGGGGTGGGGATGCGTGCGTTCCCGAGCAGCAGTCACGACTCACAACTGCTTGCAGCGAAACGGATGAGGATGTGTGTGTGCGACCAAAACAGCTCCCCCCTGATGGAAGGACTGGCTGACATGGGTTGGTTGGATTGGATGTTGTGGTGTGGTGTGGTGGAGGTGATGTGGCTGAGGGTGCAGCAGATTCTACGATCCAAGAGCCAACTCAAGATGCGCTCGCTTGTCACGTGGAAGGTGGATTGCATTTGAGCGAAGATCTTGACGGTGTATGTTCTGCAATTCCCTTCTACCTCTCGGAAAAAAACTGGTTCTTTACTAAGCATTTTATGAGTCCGCTGGGTTTCGTACATCGCTCCGCACCAGGTGGAGGTGAAGTTGCGGCTAGACAACTTCACTTTACTCCCACCATATATTCTGGCACTGAAAACAAAAAAAGGGAGAACCTTCGTCTCCCCCAGTTGACCCCGTCTCATCGCCACCAAACTCGCTGCACCGTCCACAAACGCATTCCTCCCAATCTTCTCGTTTTCTTCCAAGTGGCGGCGTTTCCACTCCTCAGATGCCGTGACAGACAGCCTCATAATCTCAATGGCTGCAAGGGGATTGCGTCAGACATACAATCATTGATGTAGCAACACCTCCAACCACCAAACGACATAAGCAGCTGCATTTTGGGTTAAGAGTGCAAGTTTACATACATGACAAACGCATGCTACTTACAGGCTCAAACCGTAAAATTTACAACTATAGTACATTCATTATACAATTGCTGTAGTCAATACCTGAGATTTGTCGTGCACTGTTGCCCCAAAATCGCATTAACCGGTTACAACTCTTGACGATGCAGCACAGCTTTGACAAGCCGCTTCCACCTGTTACTAGGGCACACCTTTGTGGCCCCTTCCATCAACCCTTCGTCACTCAGGACAACCACTTTCTCGGGAACAACCAAATCATCGCTGGACACAGCAACACATTCCTCTGAGTTAAACACAGCAGCCTCAAGGGCTGTACGAGAAGGCTCGGTGGACCCTTTTCCTGTCATAGCCCTTAGTGACGGCAACTCACCCACTGGGAACTCCAGATCTGTTCGCCTTGGCCCTTCCCTGAATCTCGAGGGTGCCAACACAGGCCCTCCGTTTCCCGATCCGCTACCGCTGGCACTTGACCGAATCTTGGATGGCGAAGAGGCTCTCGGCGACCCACTATTGAACACCGAAGCAGCCAATAACGGGGATGGAGGGCCAGCTAGTGTAGGTGCTGCGCAAGCTACAGCAGCAAGAGCAGGAGAGTTGGCTCCACTGGCAGGTGTTCTTATAGCATACCCATCAGAGTCGGATTCCCCCTTCTCCCTTTTCTGATAAGCTCCCATGATCTTCCCAGGGGTGGCAGGTGATAGGCCAGGGTTCTCCTGGCATTCCTCAGGGTCTTGGTATTCCCGAGGTGAGTTGCGAGGGGATTCGGCAGGGGAGGAGGAGGACCAGCAGGAGGAAAGAGGCGAGCAGGGGGAGTTGGAAAAGAGAGCTGACTGGAAACGCATCAGGGCAGCGGTAGGAGAGGAGATGGAGGAGGGCGAGGAGGAATATGAGGGTGAGGGAGAGGATGAAGAGGAGGCGGAGGCAGAAGAAGATGCTGTGATTGACTGGTGGGTGCGATGCTTGGACGGAGAGGCTATGCTGGTAGAGGATGGCATGCGCGACTGCCGCCCCCGATTCGGAGAATCGAATTTTGAAGGAGAATCGAATCGTGACGATGGGGAATCGAATCTCGATGACAGGGAATCAAATCTTGAGGGGGAATCGAATCTGGACGGAGAGTGGACTTTGGAAGGAGATTCGAATCTTGAGGTTCTTGAAGTGGAGTCCATGTGAGGGGAGCGGTATGGGGAGTGGAATTTGGAGGGGGAGGAGCAGCTGGGAGATTGTAGGGTGGGGACGTCAATGTGTGGGTGTCGGTTCCGCAGGTGGGCGATCTTGACGGGGAGAAGGGGTCTGGGTAAGGTGGTGTTGGGTGCGGTGCTGCTGGGTAGGGTGGTGGGGAGAATAGTGGCGGTAGCGGCACTGGTGGAATCAGCATTGGTGGAAGCAGTTGTCATTGAACTGGTGGTGCTGCTGTGGTCAGAGCTCGCACTGGCAGCGATAGCAGCGTCATTCGCACATGCAGCAGCAGCAGCAGCAGCAGCAGCAGCAGCAGCAGCAGCAGCAGCAGCAGGTACAGTAGTAGTAGCAGGAGTATATACATTGCTGGCCGTAACCTTGCCACTGGAGCTCGAGCCGGTTACTGCCTCAGAAGGAGACAGAGAAGCTTCAGACACGGAGGCGAGAGGAGTCGAGGCCGGTGAGGAATGGTCTGGGAAGGTAATATGATATGAAACTTGAATCTTAGAATGAGTACGAGAGGGACGTTCCTGCTGCTGCGCCCTGCATGCCGCCTGCTCTTGCTCATGTATGATGTCAGCATGCACATCAGCATTGGGCATTGTTACGTCAGGAAGGCCTGTCGTGACGTCAGCCACCAGGATGTCAACAAAAAGCAGCTTGATGCCCGCAGCGTCCTTGGCTTGGCAGATGGCAAAAATATTTCTCCAATTGGCGCATTCCACGTCAGCAAACTCCTCCAGGTCACCCCATTCCTCGCTCTCCTCCACTTCCTCCCCGCGACCCCCTACGCTCTGGAGCGGAGCCGGGGCGCGCACGTTCCTCGTGCAGCCAAGATTGACCGGAGAAAAAGGACCTGAACCTGAACTGACTCGCTGTCCCTCGTTGCCTCGCAACGCCTGCTGCCGTCCCACGTCCCTTAGGCTCACGCCCGTTTGCGTCACATTCGCTTTTGTCGCACTGGTAGAAAGCGACGCTGCGACTGAAGTCGCACCTGTCGCGACGCTCGCGCTTGTCGTCAGGCTGCTGTTGCTGCTGCTGCGACTGAATGCGACGCTGCGACTGAACACGACGCTGCCGTCGCCCGAGAAAGTGCTTCTGATCGTCGACACGCTGAGCTCGCTGCTGCTGCCGCCCAGACTCGCGAGACTCGCGATGCTTGCGACGCTGGCGACACTTGCGACGTTTGCGACACGTCCAGTCGAAGCGACGCCAGAGACTCTGGGAAAGATTCCACTACTCGGGTTGCTTGCGACGGCGTTCGCGACGCTCGCGACGCTCATTTTCGCCTGCATCCTTCGCCCGCCGCTTCGGCCGCTATTCACCCTTGTAATATCGGAGCGCGACTCTTGCTCCGCCGAAAATGGCGGCGACGCGTCAACACTGCGACTCACCGGAATCGCGCCGCTTTGATTCCGCGCGACAGGGGAGTTCCGCGCAGGAGATTCGCGCGCAGGGGAGTCGCATTTGGATTCAACCGCGCGCAGGAGATTCAACCGCTGGAGAAGCCGCGAGCGGCTCGTGGGGGAGGGCGCCGCGAGAGCCGCCGCCGAGCCCGTCGGGGACGGCGAGGGGCACGGCGAGCCGTTGGATGACTGGAATGCGAACAATCCGACGGCTCGCGGCGGCGTTCGGATAAAAGCCGCGGAGTTGTGGCGGAAAAGGCGGCGGCGATGGAGCAACGAGTTGCCTGCTCCGGTGTCCCCTCTGCTAGTACCAGCCGCGCCGCTTATTTCGTGCGCGCCGTCGCGTGCGCCGCCGAATTCTCCGCTGGAGCTTGGTCTGGATCGAGCCCGCCGTCCTTGCGATTCGAAGAGGTCGAATGCCGCTTCGAGCGGGCCCGACCGTGGTCTATCCAGCGGATGCGCCTCGGGATTTTCCAGCTCAGTGCTGTAGCGGTTGGAGCGGCAGCGTAAACTCTCGGTTGCACCAACGGCGTTCCGGCCGGTGCTGATGCTCCGGGAGTTGCGGCCGCTGCTGAAATTGGTGCCGCGCAAAGTACTCTCGGCAGGGATGATGTCGTTTACCGGCGAGGCGAATCGACCGCTATTAAACTTTCTGTCGCGTTCCTTTATTGAAGCCATCGTTTGTCGGGGAAAGGGGGAATGGCGTGTCTCTCCAGGTGTTAGAGGAGAGGTAAATATAGAGGCAAGGAGGCAGACGGTGGAATCGACTGATTCTTGTGTCGCTGAAGGTGCGGATAAGGATCAACGCTGGAGTGCGTTCCGTTGGATACGGCAGACGAAGGGTGGCTCTACTGCCTCGGTTCGCGAATGAAGTATCAACTACTCCCTGTTTAGTATCTACCCCTGTACCCGAAAGCGATATATATGTGCTCTACCCGTCCTCCTGAAAAAATCCTGCATGTCAATCAAATGCCACCCCATGCAGCTTTCTCCCCCCCTCAGCTCACTCACCTGCCTACCCCGCGTCTGCAGCAATTCTACTCTTCGGTCCTCCACAATTTCACCCGCGCCAACCCAATTGATTGCTGCAGATAGCGACTCGGGAGTTGTGAGGGAGAAAAATTGCACGCGGCGCGGTCACAACAACAGCTCTGTCTAACTCTGTGGTAGGGAATCCTGGCCGTGGGGTTCGGGGCAAGATTGCGTCATTGACGGGGAGGATTTCTTCTGAGAGATTCACCTGATTCTAAAAAGCGAGATGAACCAATCAGAGGGCCCAATAAACATTAGGGACGGCCGGCTCGGGTTCACTTTGTTCAGCCAAGCCAGCTGGCCAACTTTCCTTTGTTTGGACTGACGCAACAGCCTCAGGTGCGAGCGTTACAAAAACTGTGATGGGCAGGATTTGTGACATGTACAGAACACCAACATTGCTGCTCACGTGCTAAAAAAACAAACTTCTGTCAGGTGGAAAACCTTGAATTTGGAAGGAAGCGCCCCCCCTCTATGCGGGCCCTTCGAAAAAATGAGCACTTCGGAGGGAGGTTTCGGAGGGGGTTCTTGTGAGAAGCTGCAGAAGAGGTGTGAAGCAACAGGAGACCTGTGAGTACTCGACGGCACGACCAAACAAACCAGTTCGTTTTGCTACGTTTTTTCGTTTTGTCAGAGTTCGCTCTGCCCGATTAAGAAGCAATCCGACAAACACACTAATCACGGCTGTTTGAATAGTAATCGCTTCCAGTCAATTATTTGTTTCACTGTAACGCTCCTCAGTCAGTCCAAGGTGGGGCGAAGGTGGGTGATGGTGCATGGAAGCTGGGTTCGCACCTCTATTTCGTCAGATTGGAGTTGACTCGCCTTGTCCGTCTAACAGCAAACTCGATTGCATATTATCTAGATAATGCACAGACTAATTTACCTCAAGCTATACTTTCAGGCATTTCTGCTTGTAACCATGGACGTAACCTGGACTTCCATCGCAACCTCGATACAAGGAGCTGATTTTCTTGTGGAGGCACTCGATTGGGTAACTACTCTGCTGAGCTGCTCATGATGTGGCATTTCTGCTTCTCCTGAATGGTCATTGCACTGAGCCACATAAGCAAAACCATCCAATCTCGACTTGCGATCATTTATGGAAACGGCTGGGAAACGCTTGGCTGTCTTCAACGAGAATGAGCGGAAATAACTGCGAGTTGAAACTGGCAAGCAATTATCCCTTCCTGTCGCAGCAGATTTGACCAGAGGTGACCCTGGCGAACATCGTAAATTCTTCGTCCGCCAATCAACCTCAGTAGATTCCTGGGTTAGATTGTAAGCACTTGGGGTGGGGCAATATGAATCCTTCCAGCCAGCACTAGAGCTTTGGAATGCGGATCTAGTTACCAGTAGTACCAGCTTCAACCACGATAGAATTGTCGCCAGCGCAGGGAGAAGAACAGACCAGTAGCAGGTAGTAGCAGCGCTGTGTGCGCTTCAGCACAGTTTCGAGTTACCTGTCCCGTAATTCCTCGGGATTTTCTGCTCTGAACCCGACTTACCTACGTTTTTCTCGAGCCTTTACGCGATTTTATATAACTCAGAGCCTCAATTTGTCTCATTTACTTGCTTAGAGCTTTTATCGAATCTCTGATAGTATGTGAACTCTCAGCGCTAGTTCTCTGACATTTCGACTCCCAACACTCGTCAGAGAAGCACAGCATCCGTTATAAGCACAGCGAGAACCACATTTGGAAACACTGCCGGAAGCGCAGCATTCGTTACAAGCACTTCGCGGGAAGGATCCCCCGTTAAAGCCAACGTCGAGCAATGGCGGCGGCAACTGCGGCGGCAAATGCGGCGGCAACTGCGGCGGTGTCAACCCCCGTGTTCGTGTACGGCACGCTCATGGCTGACGAGGTGCTCCGTGTGCTACTGGACCGCGTGCCCGCGTCGACCCCCGCCCGCCTCCCCAACTTGTGAGTCCCCGCTTCCCCTTTCCCCTCTCCCCCTTTCCCTTCGTCCCCTTCCCTCGTCCCAGCATCAAGGGGCGGGAATTCCCTTTTTTTGTCCCTTCCACCCGTCCCTCCCAGCATCAAGGGATTCCCCCTCTCCACTTCCTTTGCCTTCGTTCTTCACACATTTCCCCTCCTCCACCCGCCGTTCCCTTTCCTCCCCCCCGCGTTTCCCCCCCCAGCACACACCAAGGGGCGGCATTAACCCACTGGGGCGGGAGTGATCCCCTCAGTTGTGACTCCTCAGTTGTGACTCCTCGCTACCCACTGGGTCAAAACGAGGTTGTTCTTTGGCGAAGCAGAATGCCCATTAACATCAGTCTTTTTCAGGCATTACATCAGTCTTTCCGCCCCCCCCCCCCCCCCCCCCCCCCCCCCCCCCCCCCAACCCCATTTCCCCCCCCCGCTCATTCCCATTCCCAGCACGCGGCACAGCATCAAGGGGCGGCAATACCCTGCAGTGGTTCCGAAAGCGCACGACTCCGTGATGGGGAAGGTGCGGAGAAAGGGGGGAGGGGGAAGGGCGCGGGGATGGGGGGTGGGAGGGGGCGCGGGGATGATGGGGCGGCAATACCTCGCAGTGGTTCCGAAAGCGCACGACTCCGTGATGGGGAAGGTGCGACAGGGGAGGGGCGGGGAAGAGGGGCACGGAAGGGCGGGAACATAAGGGGTCGGGGGGATAAGGGGCCAGGGAAGGGGGGCGGGGAAAGGGGAAAGCGCACGACTCCGTGATGGGGAAGGTGCGGCGGAAGAGAGGAAGAGGCTGGTCGGCAGAGGAAGGAGGTAAGGGGAGAGGTTGGGGAGGAGTCTGGGAGACAGGCTGGGTGCAGGAAGAAGGAAAGAAGTGCTTATGTACGGAATTTTTTGCTAGTTTTTTAGTTTTTCCCCCAAGAAGAAAAATTTGTAGCAATGTGGAGCTTTCATGCTGCATGGTGCTGTTTTCTTTCCCCACGCTCTGCTCCCACCCTCCATTCTCTTCCATACTCCCCTCCACACTCCCACCCTCAACCTCTCTCCCAATGTCCAGCCTTCATGCCCCTCATCGTGTCATCTCCTGTCATTTTCCGTCGTTTTTTGGTGCCTCTCCACATTTCCCTCTCCAGTGTTTTTTCGTCCTTTTCTGTCCTCGCCTCCACCCCCTCCCCCCATTTCCCTTCCTCCTTCCCCCAGCTGCTCCTCAACCCCTCCCCGCGAGAAATGAGCCTCTATGACGCCTTTGAAGACGTGAAGTATGTGCGCTGCACACAGCCAGTCCCCATCCCACCCCCCCTGCTCCCCCTGCTCCCCCTGCTCCCCCAGCTGCTCTTCAGCCTCTCCCCTCCTGAGATGAACCTCTTTGATGCATTCGAAGATGTCGAGTATGTGCGCTCCACCCACCCAGTTTCCCTGCAACGGTTAATTACCCAGCCAGTTACCGGGCAGGGGTTGACACGAGGGGAGGGAGCTTCGCAGGCAGCGGATCAAGTTGAACCGCTGCAAGCGGGGGAGGAAGCAAGCGAGGCATTGGGGGGAGGAGGGGAAGGAGGGGGAGGAGAGGGAGGAGAGGGAGGAGAGGGAGAGATAGAGGCGTTTGTATATGTGTGGGCGAATGCACATGACCCTGACCTGTATGGGTCGTGGGACTACGAGGTAAGAGCACTTCTTTCTTGGGCGAATACGGAGGTACTCTATGGTTCCTGGGAGTACAATGTGAGAAAAGAAGGGGGCCCTCTCTTTCTTCCTGTTCCCCTTCCCGTCCACCTCTCCTCCCATCATGCGCAATGTGGAACTAAGCACATCACTAGGTCAAAATTTGAGATATCTTAAAACGAGTATGTCCTCTGCAAACTCTGGTGCATGCATGCAGGCATGGAGGTGAGAGCATGTGGAGTATTTTGTAATTAGGTGCCGTTCTTTTGCAAGGGGGTGGAGAGAGAGGCAGGGACGCAGGCTTGCAGGCAACTTATAGCCCTTTCTAGCGTTGTTGACAGTGTACATTAAGCTCTCCTACTAATCCTCCACACCCCTTCTCTGTCTACACCACTTTTTTTTTTCTGTTGATGTTTTTGTTCCTTCATTTTATGCATTGACACCGCGCTCCTTATTGATGGAGCGTGTTTGTAGGCATGGCGCACCAAATGGTTGGACTCGTATGTTGCAATGTGCCGAGAATTTGCGCAAGAATGGAAGGACGGGGGGTCATGGAGCGGCATCGAGCATAGAGAAACATTACAGGCGAGCGGCCCAAATGCTTAGTGACGGGTATTTTGTACGAATGTCACTAAGTTAATGATTCATGAGCTGAAACGTGATTATTAAGACACGTCTTTAGATTGTATTTATGTGATTTTATCTGCTCTATTGCAACAGCCATGGGTTGAGCCTTATAACGGAATGCATTCTCCCCTTACCGAAAGATTCTCCACACACATGAAAATACCTACGCACACCCACTCCCCCTCCAAAGCATATGTACATGAAGATTTTCACAGCTTGTTGCCTGCAACAAGAAGATTTTCGCCACTCAGACTGGCCCGGAAGGGATTCGCTGCTTCGAGAACATGTGTGAGGAGGTGGGTGCACTGTACATATCGTTGACGCCAGCTGTCCCCCACCTGCATATCCTGCCCTAAAGCTGCCTCCACCACGGAGGAGAGTGTGCACTTTGTTTGACGTTGCCTTTTCGAATTTTGTTTGCCCGAGTATCAAACTGTGCCAGTAGAAGTACCTCCTGTCAGAGGTTCCTGGTCTGTTTTCCTGCTTTATAGAAACGGAAATGGAAGCAGGGAATGGAAGCAGCGACTTCGTTTCTGTCGAAAGGACACCAGGGGCACCAGAATTAACTGCAACTAGTTCCTGATTAAAGCTGGCATCAACTCAACAAACTGCCGCGACCCACCTGCGATTCGAACGAATGATACGATCAACCCCCGCAAACAAAGCTCTGCCTCCCACAGACCCATTTTGTCACAAACATCCAACTAACCCCTTCTGTACAAATCTACTTGCTTATAGTCCCACTGCAAAACACGCGCGGCGCGAGACTATAAAGCGAAAACTCAAATCCCCAGGCAAATGGTTATTTTTTTAGTCCCTTGGGCGGGAATCTCCGTCTACAAGCATGATGACTGGTAAAGCATTGGCTTGCATCGTCTGGCGACTCAATTCTACTCCTTCTTTGCATGAAATGAAACCCATGGTAACCAGTGACGCAAAGTCCGAATTTCAACAATTCCACACGCAGGTCAATGTTTCGTGCCTTTTTCCAAAATTTCTTAGCAATCAGAGTGAAAACAACACACAATCAACCATCAGTTGAAATTCCAGTTGCGTACCAGGGACATTTCGAGCATGGTTCACACCTCCCCCCCCCCCCCCCTCCCCCCCCCCCCCACCCCCAACATTCCCCACAAACACAAACATCAAATCCACGCAATCACACGCTCCAAGCACTCGCACAACAGACATTCACCAAGCATGCTCACAGCTCACAAACACACTCGACACTCAAAACGACCAACACCCAAGGCTAAGAGACTCTGCATAATGCTAGACCAAACCTCACACGAACGCATCAAGCTTCACAGGCGGACCACGGGCGAGATCTGTTCGCCGTATCTTCTGGAGCGTCAGCCTCGGAATGTCCGGCATTCTGGGGGGGGGTGTTCAAGTTAATGAAGGCACGACTGGCGTGATGAAGGTGGTCGATCACATCCTGGTTGTTAATCCCAAAAATGACAGCGAGGTCGCTGGGCAGCATGTTCTCAGCCCGCGCGTACCCAACCAGGATCTCAGTAGCCCTGCGAGCAACCCGGCGACGCTCGCGGATAGCGTCGGGTTCCGCTGTCGTGATGGGCTCCGGCAGCAGCGACGGACGGATGCCACGAGTCCTTGGCGGCTCATCCGCCAAGGGATCAGGTGCCTCGAAATCGCAGGTCTGCACATTGTCGTCGACGGAGTTGAACTCCGTCGCCGACATCCCTGCCGGACCGAGATTCAGTGCCGCCAGCTGCCTACCGAGTAACTCCAGTTCCTCGGTAGTGTCGCCAGGGTCGGACGTCTAGGAGCTCCCGAGGGGCATGAGTGCCCTCCACGAGCGCGGCAGGATGCCGGAATGGAACCAGCAGCGCTGGATCGTCTCGGCCTCGACCTCTTCCCACGCTTCGTATAGGTAAATGACCGTCTCGGACGCGGTCGGCTTCAAGTTTTGCAGGGAGGCGGGGCTCCCACGATCGTCCCACCGACGGAGCCAGTCCGCGATAACCCTCTGACGGAACCTCGCCTTGACCGCGCTGATTACACCTTGGTCCAGAGGCTGCGTGAAGGCCGTGGTGTTTGGAGGGAGGTACACCACACCGATGTTGCTCAGTTTGACAGTGCGGAAGCCCAATCAGGTGGAGGAGGGAACTCCGCGCGGGGATGGCGGCGAGGGGGCGGGGGGGGGGAGGGCGGGGGGCATACGATGATCGGCAGGAGCATCGTGGGGGACGTGCTGTACAGCATCGCTACAGGCGAGGAGGAAGGGTGCTCGCGCGCTCGCATCCTCGCATTGGCCGCGAAACGGTACGCAGGAGAGAGGGAGAGGGGGGTGAGAGAGGAGGTTGAGATAGGGGAAGGCCGAGAGAGGAAGTGTTGAGGAAGGAGAATCGATTCCACAAGCATCCCCACTCAAGTTCCACATCCCCACAAGCGCGGCGAACCCAATTGCCGAGCTGGCGCTCAAGTTGGGGGAACATGGGCTGCCGCAGACGAAATGTGCGACCATGGACCTTCGTCGCAGCACGCCACTTCTTTTCGCCTCGCAGGATCTTGCCAATCGTGCTGTGATCAGGGCGGATTCCAAACCTGGTGAAGCACCACCATGCAATGTCTTCGTGACGTAGGTGGGGGTTGTGCACTAAGTGCTGACAGATTTCTCGCTTGGTGACGATGAGAATTCGCTTGCACTTAGAAAGGCGAGCCATGTTGCTTAAGCAAGCGTGTCGATCGGAACGGTGACGTGAATCACACGTTGGTCAACTGCTTTTGAAGTCTCGTCACCCCCCCCCCTCCCCCCCCCCACCTGGTTCAGGAGGGGTAAGAGAACTCATGACGTGGCACTGGGGTTTGATTTGAGGTTGGATGACGTGGGCGAGAACCTCGCAAAATTTTCGCCAGCCTGATATTTCGAGAAAGTTCATTTTTTCGCTAGTGCTGAACACGTCGCAAACCCGAGATGACCCTCTAATTCGATTGGTTGAATGACTGATTCGCAGAATCGTGTCAGAATCTTTGCCACCTTCTGTACACTGTGTGCTACCCACAGCGGGACTAATACATGAGGGGCCACACCTAAGACATATCAGAAAATTCTACATTAGGGGGAAAAGTGACTCTCTTAGCGAAAGCCTCTAAACCGGAACACTTGTACACTCGGCAGCGTAGTGTCGGTTCGCTTTATGCATCCAACTTTGGCCATTCTTGCTGGTTGTGTGGGAACTTGGAAGGGGGGAATTGCTGCAGGGGCAACCAGAGACAAAAAAACACACCCGAATTTGTGTGTTGGTGAGTTGGTGAGCTGAGAGCCTGAGATGTTTCGTGGGGCACAACTGACGAGAGAAATCCAAGGAAGCCTGGAGCAACCACCAGTGGCACGAGGTTTTCCAGCTGTGTGACGTGTCTCCCCATCACCTGCTGATACAGAACTGTAGGAGATCGCGTCGCGAGAGACAGCACCTGTGACCTAAAATCCCCCAAGTCTGTTGTGAAAAGATAATCCGACTCGTGATCCCGTCCAGTTAACCTACCAGCCAACAATCTTCCCTCCACCCCTTCTCATCACCCTGGCAGACAGGCACGACAGGGAAGGACAGCCTTGGCCTGAACCAACTCGAAGCACCACGAGTGTTTTCGGGCTGGATCCATGCTAGTCTTACCTTCCTGAATCCTTCCGGCTGCAAACTTGCCTCCACCTTGCACAGAAGATCGAATAGACCACGACTGAAGCTCCTAGCATAGACACAGCATCGATCCAACCAATCTTGTAGTTGCGAGTAGTGCTCGCCATCACAGGTGGTTCTGTAGAGTTAATTCCAGGGGGGACTTGCATTTAGTATCAAAAAGTTTGCGCGTTTCTCCTTTCTCGCTTTCCATGGTCCAACTTACGAAAGCTGCCCTTTTCCAGAAGACAAACAAGCCAAACCCGAAAGCGAACATGGCGTTTTACTCGAGTTTGATCGGACCTGTTTTAATAATCCTTTTCTTTCAAGTGTCGGTCACTGCCGGGAACGGCGGCGACTCCGAACCGACGCCTTTCCCTGTCCAGCCTAGTGCGTTTGAGATTTTTATGCAATCACAGGGGCTGTTGCCTGACCATCCCCAAAATGACGCCCCGCCGGAATCGCTCCCGTCGCAGGCGACTGTAGCCGATGGCGACGGTCGCCAGCTGCGACAGCAGCGAAGGCTCGCGGGCTCCTCCAGAGGCCGGCGAACCCTGAGCGGAGAAACGTCGCGGAAACTTCTAGACTTCGGCCGCGTAATGCGGAGTCGTCAGAGACGTAGGGCCCTCGACGTGACGCCGGCGGCTCCGCAGGCGCTCCAAGCGCCGGGCCTCAACTCCGCGCCAAGCGCGGGCGACATCAACATGACGTGGTACCGCTGGCAAAGCGTCGCACATCCTAGCGAAGTAGATTGGCGACGGACGATCGTAATGACGCCGGTGCTGAATCAGCAGTTGTGCGAGAGCTGCTGGGCGTTAACGTCGACGGATATCGTTAGCATCGTCTGGGCGTTGGTGAATAATCAAACGGCGGAGCCGCTGTCGCCGCAGCATGTGTGCGACTGCGCGGCGGGGCAGTGCTGCGAGGGCGGGTGGCCGGAGTGGGGGTTCCAGTTCATCCTCGCTAATGGCGGAATCGCTACCAATGAGGCGTATCCCTATGTGGCGCACGGTAACTCCACGTGCCGCAATATCGCCAGCGGAATGCTGAAGGCTAAGGTGCTTTACTCCCTCCCAACAATCCCGTTTTCCCCTTTACCTTTCCCAACCCCACGCCCCCCTCCAACCCCCTCTTCCCCCTCCCCATTCTGGAACCTTTCCCTCTACCCTCGCCCTCCCCACTCTTTCCGTGTTCGATTTTATCGCTGAATAAAGTCACTTTTCTTGGTTCTTCTTTCCAGCAACGCGTTGCGCGACGAACAAGCCTTCTCGCCCGTCGTCGTGTCTGTTGTGTGTCAGACCCTCAAATCTCTCCGTGAGCTCCTATCTTCCCTCCTCTTGCCTGGTTCGCGCAGATGACGGGGTGGGAGAAAGTGCCGGTTCGAAACAACAAGGCGATGATGAAGGCCGTGGCGCAGCAGCCCGTGCTCGTGTACCTATCTTCGGGCACCAACGACTTCATTGTAAGCTCCGTCCCGTTATAGTAGTGGCAATACTTGCCTGTTGTTTTGTCTGAAGTACGGTGACCTCATCTCATTTTTCTTCTTCTTTGTGTTACCTTTTCCACGTTTCCAACTCTGCGCATTCATCCCGTATTCGTTTCTGCCCATTTGCTCCGTACCTATTGCTTCTCCCCCCTTTCCCCAGAGCTACTCCGGCGGCATTTTCGATGGGAATTGCAGTGGCGACATTGACCATGCGATGCTGCTTGTTGGTTACAACCGAACTGACCCGGACAATCCGTACTGGATTCTGAAGAACACGTGGGGAATCAACTGGGGCGAAAACGGCTACATGCGCTTGAGGATGATACCAGACGGGAACGGCAAGTGTAACGTGATGAGCGAAAACGCGATTTACCCCGTTTTCTACGAGAAGAACAGCAGGGCGTGCGAGGTTATCACGCCGAATCCTTGCGGCGGAGGCGTGTGCGAAGTGCGAAGCGGCAGGGCGAGATGTAACTGTCCCCCTGGCTTCGTTGAGCGTCTGGAGGAAAGTGCGCCCAAGTGTGTTACGGCTACACCGTGTGACGCTAATCCCAATCCCTGTGGTGTCGGGACATGCAATAACGAGTTCGACGGCACGTATACCTGTTCCTGTCCTGCGGTAAGTTGCACCTATAATCCTTCATTCACTTCCTCCTAGTCCTTAATTACCTTCCTCCCAGTCCCTCGTTCTCCCATTCATGTAGTCCCTTTCCTCCCGCTCATGTCACTTTGTCGCCCTACGGGTACTAGTAGTATTCTTCCCTCTCTGCTTGCTAATATTTCTCGTACCCCTTCCCCCCTTCACCACTCCCTTGCTCCTACCCAGGGCTCCGTGATTGGTTCCCGAACCGACCGTGCCATGACCTGCATCGTAGGCTCGTTCCAGTCGGGTCTCCAAACCTACACCGTAATGGCAGGCGACACGTGTCAAACAGTCGCCGACACCTTCGGCTTCACTATTGAGTTCCTCGTACAGCGGAACCCGTTCTTGGACTGCGATTTACCGTTGATTCCGGATTACGTTCTTCTCGTTGCCGATACCGCGAATTTCACTTGGGGATGCTCCGCTATGGACATAGTCGCTCCGAACGACACCTGCTCGTCAATCGAGTCGCGAAATGACATTTCTCATCGTCAGCTCATCGCAATCAACCCAACGTTGAATTGCTCCGAATCGCTCCCTCTTTCGCTTACCATTTGTACTGCCCCGGGCCGCATCTCCTCCAATTCCGCGATAATTCGCTCCTGCGGGAAGGTTCACGACGCGTCGCCGAGCGAAAGATGTGTGGATATTGCGAGAGGCTACAACATTTCGCTAAACGAACTTCTGTGGCTGAATCCTGGGCTCAAATGTGACAATGATACTCTCGGGGTGGCAGTCGCGGTGTGCGTATCCTCATTATCTACGGAGCTTATTACTGTGAACTGTACCCAGTGGTATACAGTAACGCAGGGCGATACCTGTCCCAAAATTGCAAACGCCGTACAGCTACCAGTGACGACTTTCCTCCGACTCAACCCAGGCCTAAGGGTAAGAAACATCATATTTTTTATTCCCCGAATGGATATCTACAAATACCAGATGTTGCAGTTTCGTTCCTAGTCTAATTTACCTAACTCCTCATTTTTTGCTGCGTTCCCATTTCCTGTCTTATTTCTCCCCTTCAATTCCGCCAGTGCTACGCTCCCTCCTTCCAAATCGGCCAGCCCGTGTGCATCTCCGGAACCATCACCAACATCCAGAAAATCAAGCTCTCCCCCAACATTATCCCATACATCGTCCAAGCCAACGACACCCTCACTTCCATATCCACCGATTTCTCCTCCCGCTGCTCCAACGCCTCGTACCCGGCCTCCATCTGCGACTCAAACTCCCTCGCAGACTGCACCGATCAGGCGATTGTCGAGGGGCAGATGCTTCTCATCCCGTGCGAAAAGCTGGTCGGAAGCGAGATCTGCGCAACTTCTCTTCCCGTGTGTGGGTTTGACGGGGTGACGTACACGTCGGTCTGTGCTGCAGTGGAGGCGTTTGCGCTTCCTCTTATGCATGAAGGCCCGTGTAACCTGTGTAGCGAAGGGCTCTGCTACAAGAGAACGGGGCAGAAACCGCCGAAAAGCAGCTGTGTGGCGCCGGTCGGAGTCTGCCCGTACCCACCCTGGCCGCTTTCCCAAGACTATTTGTATTACTGCCCGATGATGTTCAACACTCAGTGCGAATGCTTGAAGGTGATTTTTTTTCTTCGCCTGTTTTTTTCCTGTTTTTTCCATCCCCCTCTGCACGACCCCAGCTTCTCTCTCTCTCTCTCTCTCTCTCTCTCTCTCTCTCTCTCTCTCTCTCTCTTCCTCTCTCTCTCCCTCCCTCTCTCTCTCTCCCTCCCTCTCTCCCTCCCTCTCTCCCTCTCTCTCTCTCTCTCTCTCTCTCTCTCTCTCTCTCTCTCTCTCTCTCTCTCTCTCTCTCTCTCTCTCTCTCCATTATTTATTGTTTTTTCTATGTTTGGAGATTTCGCTTTTTGAATCTCATATCCTGAATGTGGAGTTTTAGCAGTGACATTTTAGTTCCGCAATGTAGTGTAACACGCATGCACATGCTGTTCTTTGTTCTTTCATGCGACTCATTTGCTCATTCCTCTCCTCCTTTGCACTGTACATTTCCCACTTTCTACAGTACACATGCACGTACCTGTGCACACTATCCGCGTCAACATACACCTACAGCCTTGCCCTGGGCAACCTGTGGCGAAACTCCACCTACTTCTACCCGGCGTGCTACAAGACCTGCTATGACGACAAGCTGCGTGCTGGCTGCACTGAAGACTCACAAGTGCGATGATAGCTTGTCAAATTGCTCCTCCTGCAGTTGTGCCCCGGGCAACCTGTATCGCAACCCCACCTACTTCTACCCGGCATGCTACAAGACCTTCTATGACGACAAGCTGCGTGCTGGCTGCACAAATGACACAGCAACGAGATGACAAGCGAGTCTTGAGAGTCGACGCGGAACAGAATGTTCTGCGTGCTACGATTTCGAGGTAACCTGCGCTTGCGTTCTATGAAGACAACCTGCATGCCGGCTGCCCAAGGACACTGTAACGAGCGCTACAAGGCCTGCTACAGCAACAACCTGAAAGTCGGCTGTGCGAATGATACACGGAGGAGGTGACAACAACGGTGTCCGTGACAAACACACACAGTCAACCTGGAAGGAATGCTATCCGTGCCAGAATGCCTGCTGCGACGACGACAATCCTCGTCCCAGCTGCTCGAATGAGTTACAGATGCATCTCTTCCTTGTGAGCGCAGGCAGGGCAGGCATGTCCTTTGAAGAGCGCAGGCAGGGCGGCAGTGAGCGGCTGGGATTCCTCTGGAGATTTGTTGGCTTTGGAGAAGTGGAGGCAGTAAGCAGCAGTGGTGCGTTGGAGGGGATGGCGCAGACCTGTGCTATCCTATGGAGCCCTGGCAGGACTCTTGGGCCTTCAAAGAGGTGAAAAGTGAAGGGCAGGCAGCCATCAGATGGACGCTTGGTGGCAGTGTGGGTGGAGAAAAATAAGTTGGCAATGGGGGTCGAAATGACAGCACTTGGAACGAGGGGAATTTGTATGGTGTATGCAGTGTACAGCACACTCCAAACAGTTATTGGTGGTGGCTCCCTGCACATCTAACATGATTGAATTGTCTTTTTGGTCTCCATTGTTTTGTTTATTTTGTTTGTTCATTCCTTGTAACTAGTTTAGTCGCTCTTATAATGTACTATAATGATTTGTTCTGTTTGAAGCATCTCACTTGGATGTATATGGTTGTTCGAGGAAGAGATGTCTCCACTACCACTACCCTGCTTACACACCTCACTCAAAAGTCGGAATTTATTGCAAGTTCAGGAGGAGAAATAAACTAACAGAAACACATAGTTCGTTACGATTCGTGATCCTTTTTCTGTTGATATCTCAAAAGTTCATATCAAGGATACCAGACCACATCATCACCTCACCAGTTATCCCTGGTCGAAACCTTATCCGAAAGTTTTGCCAATGGCTGCCATCGCAGCAGTCACTTGCGGCGCGCAAGTCGCCGGCGCTGCCACTCCTCTCTCATCCCATTATTTGCAAAAACCAGGCCTTTGCAACTCTTCGGAGCAAGACTCTCGCAGAAACTTTCGCGACGCGACTCGTGCAGTCACGCGACCGAGCTTCGCGACCAACGCATCATCGTCGCGCCGTCGCAGATGGCCGAATCCGTCGCAGCACGTCGCTTACTCGGCTTCGGCGACGCAACCGCGTTCTTCGTTAAGAGAATCGTGCGATTCCGGGTTGCAGGAAGAATGGATGAAGGAGGGAGGATCGCAGCAACTAGCGCAGCAACGGGACGGCGGAAAGGTCTTAGTGGCACTTCAAGCATTGGTACCAAACGTAGTGGAGTCTAATACGGTCCTACCACCTAATGCAGGGGTATCCCGGCGGTCAACCTTAACCCTAATGCTCGCATGCGCCGCTTCGGCGGCCGTGCCTGGATGGACGATTGTGTCGCCTGCTGTCGCACAGGAGTCAGGTACGACGACTGTGTCGCCTGGTATCGCACAGGTGTCAGGTACGTCAGTAGCTGTCAGTTGTCATGTGTGCAAGTGTCCCCTCTACGCCCATGTTGTTTCCCCTGTCTGCCTGCCTGCCAATGTGAATTACTCCTTCCTCCTCCCTCCCGGTCACCCTCACTGATGCCAAGCTCTCTCATTGCCTTTCTCACGTGCCCTTCCCCTCTACGCCCATGTTGTTCCCCTGCCTGCTGGCCAAAAGTTACTCCTCCCTCCTCCCTCCCTCCTCCCTCCCTCCTCCCTCGCGAGTGGCAGCTCCTCCCTCTCACCCTCAATGCCTCCAAACTCTCTACCTGCCGTTCTCACACGCTCGTTCCCTCGTCCCCCCGTTACTGCGACCCCTGCCTTCAGACCAACCCAGCAGCAGCAGCAGCAGCAGCGGGTTACCCGTCCCTGTCACCCACGCCAAGCTCTCTCTACGTGCCTTTCACTCTCGACCTTTCCCTCGTCTCCCTTCTCTTTCCCCCTGCCTGCAGACCAACCCACCACAAGCAGCAGCAGCAGCAGCAGCAGCAGCAGCAATGGCAGGTTACCCGTCACTGTCACCTACGCCAAGCTCTTTCTTTACGTACCTTTCTCCCTCGCCCTTTCCCTCGTCTTTCTTCTCTTCCCCCCTTGCCTGCAGACCCACCCACCACAAGCAGCACCAGCACCAGCACTAGCAGCAGCAGTGGCAGCAGCAGCAGCAGCACCACCACAGCAGCGGGAGAGGACGGCATTTTTCGGCGGTATTACAAGCCGGACGGCACGGAGCGAGCCACCAACCCCTACTCCTTCCTCATCCCTCGCGGCTGGTTACCCGTCCCTGTCTCCCTAAACGACGCCAAGCTATACGGCCTCGACTCTCGCTTTGTCTCCCCCACGCCTCCTGCCGCGCTGGGGGGCGGAGGAGGGGGAGCAACAGGGGCAGCGGGAGGGTATGCGAGTGTGGTGGACGTGTTTGTGCTGCCCGTGGTTGAGTAGGGTTGCAAGCGGTTGAGTAGGGTTCAATCTGGTGAGTGGGGTTGTGGTTGATGCTGCCTGCTGCTGTGCTGGGGGGCGGAGGAGGGGGAGCAACTGGGGCAGCGGGTGGGTATGCGAGTGAGGTGGACGTGTTTGTGCTGCCCGTGGGTGAGTGCTTTTGCAAGCGGTTGCAAGCGGTTGAGTGCGGTTCAATCTGGTGAGTGGGGTTCCAAGCGGTTGAGTGGGGTTCAATCAGTGAGGAGAGTAACGGGCGGCAGCGCGAGGGTATGCAAGTGTGGTTGACGTCTTTGTGCTGCCCATGGGTGAGTGGTATTGCAAGCGGTCGAGTGGGGTTCAGTCTGGTGAGTGAGGTTGCAAGTGGTTGAGTGCGGTTCAAGCGGGTGGGTGGGGTTCAAGTGGGTGAGTGGGATTCAAGCGGTTGAGTGCCATTCATGTGGGTGAGTGGCGTTCAAGTGGATGAGTGGGGTTGCAAGCGGTTAAGTGGGGTTGAAGTGAGGCTGGTTACTTGTCAAATCATTCCCATCCACCCACTCAATTTCATCCTTCAGGTTTATTTCTATCCCTCTCACTGCTGTAAACTTACGGTACTTTCGTAGTGCTCGCATTCTTGATTAGGCCCGCAACAAGAATTCCTCCTAAGATTTTTTTCTTTTTAACGATAGGGGACTAATGGGCAGAAATGCCTTTCAATCCTCGAATTTGGATTTGATTCCCTCTTATCTTCGGTATCCTCAAGGTACCTTCGTATTGCTGGCATTCCTGAATAGGCACACAATGAATCTCCTCCTTTGCCAATCTTTCCCATGCTCACCACGTTTGCTCCTCCTGCCGGTTCTCTCCCTCCTGAAGGTCCCTGCCCTTTACCAGGCAACCCTGACTAAGCAAGCATCAAAGAAGTCAGTGACTTCAACAAAGTTTACAATTTGTTACAAAAATGGCCAATACTGCACTCTCTTTGCTCTTCCCCTCTTATGTCGAGTCGCGTCAGGCAATGCTGACCAGGCAAGCATTGAAGAGATCGGTGAGTTGGATGATATGCATTCATAAAATTTGGCTGCTAACGCAATATGATCTCTTTTTCTCTCCACGTCTTCATCGGGTTGCTTCAGGCAATGCTGACAAGGCAAGCATTGAAGAAATTGGTGACTTGGAGGATGTGATTGGGATTTTCGGCCCACCAGATCAGCCAACCCGCGTGGTCGATGCATCCATACAGGAACGGCCAGCTGGCACGACGTACTATCACTACGAGCTGACGTCACCAGCAGCTCTTTTGTCTGCTTACGTATCAGACAGCCAGATTTACATATTTCAGGTGAGAGCAGTAGCCAATGTATGCACTGCAGTGATCCAACTTGATCGAGCTCTGTTATATAAATCGAAAATGTATGATGTATGGTTACTGATTTTGTTTCCATGTTTCACCCCGATGTAGGTAAGCGCTCCCGGGCTGTCCAAGAGGCAATGGCGCGAATCGTTCTATCTATTTGATGCCATGAGGGACTCCTTCACAAATGAAGCACGCTTTTGAAAGTTACTGTGATGATGTAGGTTGTAGGTTTATATGGCGACAGAATTGCTAGTGTCCAGCAAGCCACCGGCTAATGTTACAAACAAGAAAAAGTGGATAATGTGAAATATTCAAACAGGGAATTCCACGAATGACAAGTGTAAGAAAGGTTTACTGTAACAACTTTTACACCCATGTTGGAAGACTAATACCTAGCAGAATACCTTGTTGCGGTTTTCCTCTGCTCATGCTGCTTCCTGACTGCTGTTCACGTGGAGTTATCGTTCTGCTGCCATCATCACTGCCAACACGTGCAGCTTCCAGCTCACAGCTCCGGAAAGCTAGGAAGACGGAAATCGCTGCCACATATGACCTGACCACAATTGCAGTTAAAACCAGGGTGCACATTCAACGCGGTTCGGCTTGAGATGTTGGGAAGGGGGTTTGGAGAAAAACAGTGATTGGCTCACGAGGGGCGACAAAAAAATGATTCCGCTAGAGCTTCGGGCATTTCGTAGGTGGCGGGAGGGGGTGAAATGGCGGGAGTGGGTGAAACCGAATGGCGGGAGGGATGAAACAGATTGGCGGGAGGGGGGGGAAACGAAATTGCGGGGGTGGGGGGAAACAAAATTGCGGGGGAGGGGGGAAACGAATTTCGACGGGGAGGGGGAAATGAAATTGCGGGGGCGTGGGGAAACGAAATTGCGGGGGAGGGGGGGAAACGAATTTCGACTTGAAGGGGTTGAAAGCACACCTCGTAACCCACTCAGTCAAGGGATAACCTTTGATGCACATTCAGCTGAATGTGCACCCCGGTTTTAAACGCTTTTGTGGCATGAAATCCTCAGCGGCTTGGGGATCTCCGGACACGCGGGGACCACGACGATTCCGCCTGCTTGCGTCCAGCACCGGGGATGGAAGGTGGGAAAAGAGAAATTATACGGAAAGTCACAATTGTGCCCGTTTTATCACGTCTGGTTACATGGGTATCAAGAACAGTCACAGTACAGTAGATTTCTATCGCGGGTGATACAGTGCTATCACGGATGGTCACACCTTGCCCCGAAAGGCTATCACGTTTGGTCACTTGTTGACCCGATCGATAGAAAGTTGAAACTGCTCAAGTCACTGTAGGGATTCAAGGAAAGTTCTCTCGCGCGCACCGTTTTGTCCGTAGTGTTACGAAATAGTTTCGCGACAACTCTCGTCAACTCAAGAAAACATCTGCAATTTCTTGTTCCTATTCGATTGTCCACTGTTCGATTTATGCATAATGTTCCTAAGAATATCACTTTTAGACGGGTGAAACTCGAAGGCTAATTCCTGACCCAAGAAAAAAATAAAACAAAAACCCATTTGGACGGGATTTAATTCAGCATGCATCAACCCAAAACACCTTGTCGCATGGTGTTTACGGTTGATGCCTCCCGAATAAGGTACCATCCTATATATGGGTATATTGTTTTCTTCAGTCCCCTAAATGTCAGGCTAGAATCATGCGCGAGGTAAAAAGCAATCAGGATTGGGATTCCCCAAGATCTCTACAGTTTCTTTTGTGGTTTCAAATTAATTATGATTTCATCGAGTGACCAAACGTGATAGCTTTTCGGGGCGAGGTGTGACCATCCATGATAGCACTGCGATCACCCGCGATAAAAAATATACTGTACTGTGACTGTTTGTGATACCACTGCGATCAAACGTGATAAAACGGGCAAAATTGTGACTTTCCGTATAATTTCCCGTGGGAAAAAGGGACCAACAAACCAGCTGTCACCAGGCCAGCAGGGATGCTCGCTTTTTTTCTCCACTTTCCTGCATTGACCAGCGTCAATTGGGATCAACTTGATGAGCTCATTCCATGGACCCCGCAAAAAGGTCATCTTTTATTGGGCAATGAAATTTCCTTTTCCTTCCAATCGGCCGTCGCGGTTGCCACGCTGTCACAGTTCCCCGTATCAAGTCTCATTCCTGGTTCTAGGGATCTCCTCTTCCCAGGCCACAGTGGAAATTTCGTGATTCGTGCGCTCTGCCCTGCTGTTTTCTCATCCTCCAGCATGGTGTGGGAACGCTAGCCCCTCTGGGAAAGGTTCTGCCCATGTGTGGTGGTGGGGTAGTGGCCCCATATGCGGGGGTGATTGTGGTTGCGGGCTTTCCCCCGAGTCCCGAATCGGACGGTTTCGGTTTGGTCCTTGCGCAAGTAACAGAAAGGGTAGAGATGAAGATGCAACCTGTGGCAGACTGCTCCGGGCAGAAAATGTGGCAATGGTTGCTTCGGGAGCAGAATGAATATCTGACGTCAATGTGGGTGGCCGGGTTTGTGATGAACGGCTGGATGTGAAGGTCAATGGTGGCTCGGAAGTGGCTGAGGGAGAAAGCTGCTTGGGGAGAGGTGGGAAGTTTCGGTTTATTCCCCTCCAATCAGTCTGAGGCGCGGAAGAACCAATGTCATTGTGCTTCATGTGAAAGGAGATGTCATTGTCAAAAGTTTCATGTTTCCATGGCCATGGCGGTTATTGCGAGCATTCAGCAGCCACCATAGTGACAGCTCAGCATAACTGGAATACGAATGGGGATGGGAAATTTTCTAACAAAATTCGCGGATTCGTCAAGTGGTATCGTTTAGAATGAACAGGCCATCCCGCACCTAGCGTTTCTTGATTCCTTGCTCCGGTTGATCGATTTAACAATCTTCCCAGGATTAATAGTGGGCTAGTTCTGGACGGCAAACAGGAGTGTGTGCTGGCGTGCAGGCCGAGCTATTTTATTGCCCTTCGCCTACTCCTGACTTCAGAAGGGCTCATTCCGTTCGCAATTGTGCCGCAGATACTCGTACTAGCTTCCTGAATTGAAGCGGAGTTTGCGATCAAGATCCGCGTAACCATGGCTGACGCAATTCTATCAAGAAGTGTTTCGGCTCCTGTTTTGCCTGCTATCTCGGATGCTGACACCAAAACTCGGCAAAAAATGTCAAGCTTTCGAGTCTACAGGCCCTACGCTTCTTCGAAAACATCCATGGGGAGTCCTTGTTTCAGCCCTCGTTCGTCTTCAGGTTTCCATCGCTCGTCCACGTCAATGTCCCTGGAACCATTCCATCACGAAGATGGCTTTTACTTCCCAGCAGCTTCTCAGGGTACTTGGGCTTCGACACCTTCTCCTGTGTCATCATCGTTCTCCGTGCCTCAAGGTTCACAAATCCGTAATCGGGAGCTATCTGCAAGAGAAATTAGACACCATGGAAACCAACAACGGCTGCGTTACCGTACAGAGTCAGAAATGGATCTTCCAGGCTCAGCGTCGTCGTCTATGGATGCAGACGATCTGTCGTCGCCCATTTTATCAACATCTGGCTTACCTTTCTCAGGTTTCAGCAGCCTGTCATCGCCACCGCCTGAACTTGGAGCTACCAGCATGAATCATCCGGACGAAGCATTAGGAGGGGCTGTTATCAACTCAGGAGCTGTTGAGAATGACCTGCTGCACAATTCTG